CTGATAGCCATGCCTCTCACGGCTCAGTCAGCCCAGGCGGGCGCTCCGAGGGGAGGCAGCGTCTTGGAGCTTTCTTCCAAGACCAGATGTGTGCACACATCTGCACACACATGCACTGACGCATGCGTGCACAGATGCGCTTTGGAGGGAGGTTAGGCGCTGTGCTTTTACACAGTTGTGTTTTAAGCCTGTTTTCACTAGCATCCATGAGGTTTTCCTTTCTGCATAAAGCATGGAATGAAATGTAACGAGGAGTGGCACAATTCCCCTGCTATGCCCATGGAAATTGAATTAGAGGGGGACTTTATCACTGCGTTGGCCTGCAGAGACATTCTGCTGAGGGGTGATATGAATCTTCCCCAACACAGTGGATCCTTTTTACATTAAGCAAAATCTAAATTTTCTCAAAGTCTTTCCATAGTAGAGGTGTCAGCATGCTGCCACACAAGATAGAGAGGAGGACAAGCGTACTTTCCACAAGCTCTCTAACCCCTCTTACGGACTGCAGGAGGACCTGGCTCAAGTCAGGAATCTGCAAGCCCGTGATGATGGTGTTTCATCTCTTTTCTCTGCTTTTGGTGTGCCAGGTTCTTCGGTAGTGCAGTGAAAGTTACTGTGATGGAGTCCCTGGAGAAACATGTTGTAGGAGGACCTACAGGCTAGTACTACACTGGGGGGTGGGGGGGTGGGGTGAAAACTGAGTTTAGGAGTAGGAGAAAGTATCCTAGTTCCCTTCAGTCTATGTCCATGTTGCTGGGTCTTAGCCTGGCAATCATTCAGATTTGAGGGTAGACTCATCTCACCCAGCATTAGCTGTATGCAGGGCCTAGTTTTGCTGATCTTTTTCTAGGTGTTTACTTTAGGGTGGAATGGTTCATGCCATGTACACGTATGTTTTTATCAAGTACGTATTTAGGGACTTGAGGGTGACTAGGTCAGATACGAGTGTCAACAATTAGGACATATTTATGTGGCCAAGTAAATTCTACTGAAAAGCTGTTCCATACTAATAAATGAAATGTGCCTGATACTGTTCTTAGCCTTGAGGCCAACTGGGATGGAGAGGCTTGCTTCCATGCAATGGTTGTCTCACCCTCCAAAACAGGGTAGCTTTAAGCAGATTTCTTATTAGGAGTGGCCCGTGGTCCCTGCTAACTCCTGTACCGGGCATAATTGTTACTTGGGGGAGCGCTACTGGCACAGACCAAAGCCATTCCAGAGACTGTGGTAACAATCCATGCTATAGATAATCAAGTTCCCATGCTCAGAAATGTTCCCCAGCACTAGTGTAGCCATAGCTAAGGTAGTCACCCTGTTTTTAGGGTGAGTAGAGAAGGTGAACTGGGCTGAAGCATTTCCAGTCGCACCTTCTCCTGCTCTTGCAGACCGTGGAAATGGAGGGTGGGTCCATGCTCACATGCCATATGTCTTCTCCCCTAAAGCAAGCTTCAGATCTTAGGATAAACCCGGCAATGGAACAAAGATTTACAGCATGGAAGATTGTCTGTGTTCGGTCTTGACCAGTCACTTACCTGACAGATACACAAAACTTTCCTTGTAGTCCCAGAGGGGGGAATCATGTTGGGGATGTACCCTGAATGATGCCTGACTCATCCTGACAAAAGTACATCATGTTGTCACTGAGGGAGATAGAGGTGACCAGACCAGGACTTGCATCATGGTCTGTCCCAGGGCTTGATACGTGTGGTGGAGTTATGATCAAAACTGTGACGCTTCCCTCCCCCCGCAGCACTCACAAACGATGAGTATTGAGAAACATGATGGATCATCAGCACAGAAAATATATCAAACGTGGTTTTGAAATGTTTCAATGCTGGAAGCTTCCAGCTGGGTAGGCAAGTTGCCTGTTAGAAAAGGCCTACAGCTGAAGCAACTACTGTCCTGAAAGATTGTTAAAATTAAATTATGAATTGACATCTCTATCAGTACAGCCCTGGAGCAGAGTGTCTGCCTAGGTATTTCATAATGGAGTATCTAAGCCTAGCAACACATGGCTTAGGCTGCTGAATAATATGCAGTATTATGTAATTTAATAACATTAAACTAGGATGTTCTGATAATAATATTATTTGAAAGCTGTTTAGTTTATTTAATACCATTTATATTTTGTATGTCAGTTGAATTCGGGGGAAAAAAGATTTTAGAAGAAACTGGGGGGAGCATGGTAGGAAATTGTGCAATGTATTTATCTGAGACTACATCACATGGTCTGCAAAGCACGGCTTTTGCTTTTATACACATAGTCTTGGCGACTCTCCCACTAGCAACAATAGTGCTCAGACTCATACTGATGTCACTGTTGAGTTATTTAATTTGACTGAATGAGATTAATGTGTTTATTTAAAACCTTGGTCAAAATGGAAAAGAAAATCTTGGGACAATACTTTTACGTGCACATGTATGTTTTCATATCTGATGTTTGTAATGTTGCATTAACTTATCAGGGGCAGTTGTTTACACACGCTAACGCCTGGGAGACCCTCTCAGATAAGAAGCGTGAGCCGTTTTCCCTCTCAGCCTGGAGCAGAGACTGCTGCACCACTGCTGCTCCTGTGGGCTTTCATCCCAGGCTCTCCTCGCTTCCTGCTGCTGCTTTCAGGGCTGATCCACAGACATCCCAGCAGTGCTTCGTTTTCTTGTGTGAGGATGGGCTTGATGTTGCCAAGCCATGATAGCGGTGTGGTGGTGGATCCTCCCCAGGTTCTCACCGGGGCAGTGAGGGACAGGCATCTCCACTGCACGGGAGCCTACATGGGGCTGGGGCTGGGCTCTCCAGGCTGAGCCTGCTCCCACAAAGGCTGGAGACCGCTTGCATAAATTTTATCCACATTATGTTTTACAAGCAGCTCGAGGGTTTTTTCCTGTGATAAATCATTCTGAACTTATTTAATTCTCACATGTACCCTCTAAGTGTTTGGAACAGACTTTGGTTTTGACTAAGAGGCAGTAGTAACTATCCAGTTAAATGCTCCAGGTCATTGGATTTTTACTAATATACAGCAGGGAAAAAAATCTGGAATCTGAAGTTTCTCTTTGCGTGGTGGGACAAGTTTGGACTGTTCCGTGGAATTGATCGCTGAATGGCACAAGTGGGGGGATTTCTTCCCTGCTCTGTGAAGAGCTCTTTTGACAGTTGAGGAAAACTGGATGTACACATAGATCAATAATGTAGAAATTGCATAAGGCAGAGCTCAGTGCTGTGGTGGGTGCCTGAAGTAAGGTGTGCCTGCTCTTCCTTCCAGTTTTGTAGTCCCTCTGTTCATATTTTCTTGCAGCCTCCTGTCCACTGGTGCTCGAAACATGAATCTCCTGGGGGAATAGCAGCTGTTGCTGAGGATTGTGACATGCCAAAGAGTCACTTTTGTGCTTTCTCCTTGGTGGGGCCAAGTGCTTCCATCTCCCTAGCTCTGTGGAAGGCTTTTGGGAATTTGAGCCCCTGCCCTCATCATTTGCTGCTCTTGTGGAAGAAGGGAAAAGCTCCTTATGTGTACATGGTGCTGGGTGTCTGAAAGGGTAACACAGTGGGGCAGGGGAATGGGCAGGAGAACAAAGCAGAAGGGCTAGGAAGAAAACAGCTTTAGGCGGTCACTGGTCCTCAGCAAACACTGCACATTGTCTAAGAGGCTCTGATGATGCCCTGGGCCATGTGTGCTTGCCCTGCAGTGTGCTCCAAAGCTGTGTGGTGCTGAGCATATGAGGCTATGCTGAGGAACCAGTCTTTGGGACTGGCCTCCTGTCTCCTCCTGTCTCAATATGTTGTACCTGTGCCTGCACTCAGTGTCCTCAAGTGCCCTTTGAACTCTTACAGTTTAAGGAAACTGCAGAATAATATGGTTTATGAGGCCCCGCTGCTCCCAACACTGAGCTATCTCTCTCTGTCTTCTCAGTGGCTGCATATAAGTTGTGGAAGGACTGAAGTCCTCCCACAAGGGTGGAGTAGACCAGTCATGGAGCTGCTTCTCTTGACACATCCATTTAGAAGCTGCTTCTCTGGAGGCGTCCATTTATAAGCTGCTGTCATCTCCTGTTTTAAGTGTCCCCTGTATAGTAAAGTCCTTTGGACTTGGTATGCACAGGGGGTCCATGAAGTATATTTAAAGCAGTAAATAGCTTGACATACAAGGACGATTTCCTCAGGGTTCCAGTCAGTGGAAATATGTCATTTTCAGCTAAAATTAGACTGACTCCAGCTACATTTGAAAAAAAAAAAAAGAAAGAAAGAAAGAAAGAAAGAAAATCCCGCAAGAACTAAGCTCTTTCTGTTGGACTTGGTCAGATGTAGCAACTTCTAGCAGAAATAACTCAGGATCCATCCAGCACAAACTGTATCCAAAAGTCTGTGATTCTAATCCAACAATTTTGAATTGGAGAGAGCGAAACAGACTGGCGAGGCAAACAAGGTTTTCCCTTGCATATGAGACAATGTAAATAAGCTCAGAGAATAATGATAGATCTTTCAAACACACTAAATTAAATCTGTGGGTATTTGAATTTTAAATTAATTTTGCAGTTAATATTTTACAACTCTTGACAATCGAGTGAGATTGGAGGGGCAGAGAGGGAGGTGAAGTTAGAAAAATATCCTGCTCATTACCACCATAAAATTTGATATTACAGATTTAATTTCCTAAAAGATGCTTGAGCTGAACCTACAGCTACCAGCATAAAGAAAAAGCTACTTTTTTTTTTTTGTAGTAAATATAACCCCAGTCTTGCAACAATTTGCTTACTGCATTAAACTCTAAGCACAAATTGAAATGACTGGACACTTAATGCTTTCCAAGGTCCAACTCTAAATTGAGTGTGGAGGGTAGAGGGGAGGAGAGGCTTGGACCCAAAATAAACAGCAAAAAACAAACAGAAAACCATTGAAAATTAAAGACACACTTTGAATCGTTTCTCTTTCGAAAGACTGTATTGAAGGAACAATGAAAGGAGTGTGTGAAGCCTAATGATGTATTGTGTTGTTATTCCAGGCTTCATCAGCAGTTTCTTGATGTTTGGAAAGTTCTGAGACCCACCCCGTTGGACTACTTGTAATCAGTGCCTAAGACTACAAAAACCTGTACCCGTCCTTGAAGGAAGTGTCCATCTCAATATTGTGGAAAGTCCGTGCAAGCCTTGGAAGGCAGGAGAGCGATTTGTGCTTCTGTTGACACTTGTGTGTAATCTCTGCTTCTTATGCACTCCAGCACCCCTATCAGTTCCTTGTTCTCCTTCACCAGCCCTGCAGTGAAAAGGCTGCTGGGCTGGAAACAAGGAGATGAAGAGGAAAAGTGGGCAGAAAAAGCTGTTGATTCCTTGGTGAAGAAGTTAAAGAAGAAAAAAGGTGCCATGGAAGAACTGGAAAGGGCTCTGAGCTGCCCCGGTCAGCCCAGTAAATGTGTCACCATCCCACGTTCCTTGGACGGGCGGCTGCAGGTGTCCCACCGCAAGGGGCTTCCCCACGTCATATACTGCAGAGTGTGGCGCTGGCCTGATTTACAATCTCACCATGAGTTGAAACCACTGGAATGTTGCGAGTTCCCATTTGGCTCCAAACAGAAAGAAGTGTGCATTAACCCCTACCACTACCGGCGGGTGGAAACCCCAGGTAATTATGTCGTCTGTGAATGATTCACATCTCCCTATTAGCTCTTGCACTGGCAGGTCTAGTCGTGGTGCAGCCGACCAAGTTCTGCTCTGAAATCTGAAAAGGCAGGCTCCATTTGATGGAAGGACCTTGGGTCTTTCCCTGCCTAATGGCATCACAGGTCTGGCAGCCAGGAGTAAGGAGCACCTTGCTCCGTAGGGTCTGTGGGGTCCGTGTCCCGTGGGACCCCCTGAGGGCGCCCGGATGTTGTCCAGGGTGCTGAAAACAAGCCACCTCTCCGTGGACGTGGGTGCTGGCTGCCCTCTGAACCCTCCCTCTGCAAACTGGTGTCCACTGGCATGAAGTCTAGGCACCATCCTAGACTTAACCACCCTGGCTAGGTTGATGTCTCATTGTGTGAAAACCAGCAATTGACTCATTAATCCACAGGACAAATGTATCGCACTCTCTGTCTTTAAAGATTAGAGTTGCAGTAAGATGACTTATTTTGCTGTAGATATGAAACCAGGTCAGTTAATTCTTCCTAAAATGCCTGGTAGCCTGTCTTCAGTGGGATTTACTTACCTGAATGGATGGTTCATAGGAAATAAATCCCCCAAGTTTACATAAAACTTTGAATTTTTCCACTGGTGATCCTCGTCAGACTGGACTTGGTCAGCACTGAAAGCTTATGACCTCACTGAAAGGTCATTTAATTGGGCTTTATGTCAGTGAAACAGCTGTTAAAAAATTACAGTGTTCAGTGTTGACTTCTATAGGGATCTTGGAAAGCAGGGTTGGCAGAGATCTTGAGCAGTCATCCTGTTCTCCTCTGCCCCTGCTTCCAAACCAAAACAAATTACCAGGTACATTCCTGACAGATGTTTTTCTAATGAGCTCTAAAAATCCCATGTGATAGAGGCTCCACAACCTCCCCAGGTAAATGAATCTCTTGCTTTGCTATCCGTACAGTTCAAAATGATTTCTCATGCCTAACCTACCTCTCCCTTGCTGCCAAAAATCACAGTAATTTAATTTACTAATGGATACGGTTGGTAAGTGTATACTTATTATTCTGTGATTACTCTTTGTCTGGCATGAACTTTACTCTGAGGTGACACTGGGATCAGATAAGTGAACTGTGGGATGTTTCTTTTCACACAGATGAAATAAGGGAAAGACATTTGTTAACATTTGTTAAAAACAACAGGGGCTGTTCCCTTTTCTGATAGCCCTTCCACTGCAGTGGAGCTGTCATTTCGAAGTTGTATCTGAACTGCTGTAAACATTGTCACAACTAAAATTTTACAGCTGCAGTGAGTGGTGCGTGTTGTCAACAGTTTTCAGTGGAAAGAGCTGATCTCCTGCCTTGCTAAAATAAACTCTTCAAGAATCTAAGAAAAGATGCTCATAAAATATCCCACTTTGTGTATCTTTCTCTTTGAAGGCTGCAGTCTTTAGTGCCTTCTCATTTCTTCTGGTGTAACTCCAGCGTAGTTAATGGAGTCTCCTCAGTGTGGTGGCTGACAGCACTGCACAGTGCTGTTTTCAACCCCGGTCTTCTGATCTGTTCAGCGCCAGCTGACAAACGCTACTACTGGGGTAATCCAGCAGCTGCTAAATGGCTGCCAAAGCATATTGTTCAGACCCTGAAACTCAGAAGCTTTCAGCTGTGAACATGTCTCTCCTGTTTGTCTCTGCAGCAGACTGGCTGCATCTCTACTAGTAAATGAGATGGGGCCAAGGTGCAGGTCTCAGTATTGCTGAATTGGTGGTGTGTTCCTGGGCACAGCTTTGACCCACGCGGGCTCACATGGACTGGCAGTTACCAGGGTGCAGGGATTAGCCCACAGGAGGGACTTCAGGCACTTCAGACGTGACCACCTTGTTTTGGAGGTGAAAAAGAGCACAACTGCGAGGGTGCAAGCTGTGCTGTGCCAGTTCTCCACAGGACCCAGGAATTGTTCGTGGGCTGCTGTATTCACCTCTATTGCTCTTTTGATGGGGACAGCTTAGAAGCTGAAGCTCACAAGTGAGTCATCTCCCTGCTAAAGATACAGTGCAGCAAGGAGAACAACCTACTTGGGTGTGCTGGGGCAGCAGCAGGAGAAGTAACTTCATAGAATCACAGAATGGTTAGTGTTGGAAGGGACCTCAAAGATCATGGAGTTCCAAGCCCCCTGCCATGGGCAGGGACACCTCCCACTAGAGCAGGTTGCCCAAAGCCCCATCCAGCCTGGTCTTGAATACTTCAAGGGATGGGGCATCCACAGCATCTCTGGGCAACTTGTTCCAGTGTCTCACCATCCTCACAGTAAAGAATTTCTTCCTAATATCTACCTAGATCTACCCTCTTTCAGTTTAAAACCTCATTGACTCCCTGATAAAGAGTCACTCCCCATCTCTCCTGTAGGCCCCCTTCAGTTACTGCAAGGCTGCTATAAGGTCTCCCGGGAGCCTTCTCTTCTCCAGGTGGGGTCTCATGAGCTCAGAGTAGAGGGGCAGAATCACCTCCCTCGACCTGCTGGCCACGCTTTTTTGGATGCAGCCCAGGATGCGGTTGGGTTTCTGGGCTGCCAGCACACATTGCCGGCTCATGGTGCTGGAGGAGCAGCCTTCTCCTCAGGGCTGCTCTCCAGCCATTCTCCGCCCAACCTGTATTTGTGCTTGGGATTGCCACGTCCCAGGTGCAGGACCCTGCACTTGGCTTGGTTGAATTTCATGAGGTTTGCACAGGCCTACCTCTCAAGCCTGTCCTCCAGGTCCCTCTGGATGGGATGCCTTCCCTCCAGTATGTCGACCACGCCACACAGCTTGGTGTCGTTGGCAAACACACCTCTGCAAGGGGCAGCAGTGCAGCTCCAGGCCAGAGGCAGTTAGAAAGCAGTGCTTCAAGGAGGTGGTGGTAAGGCAGGAGAAGAAATGAGCTTCAGGAGACAGTGGTAGCAGTGAGATTACCACCAGGAACACCAGGAGCGGTTGATCTAGGTGCCAGTATGTTTAAACAGTCCTTTTCACTACAGGAAATCTTTGGCATCTTGGCTGTTGATGATCTTAGGCTGATGTGAGGTTCTCTGAGTCTCGTCTTCTGGAGCTAAAGAATCCACCCATGAAATTAGTCAGCAATGCATTTCTTTATAATCCACAAGCCAGTATTATTTTCATATAAATGTCATAGAATCGTCTAGGTTGGGAAGGACCTTTAAGATCATCAAGTGCAACCATTAACCTAACACTGCCAAACCCACCACTAAACCATATCCCTAAGCACCATGTCTACCCGTCTTTTGAATACCTGCAGGGATGGTGATTCAACCACTTCCCTGGGCAGCCTGTTCCAATGCTTGACAACCCTTTCCATCCTTTTGGGGCTCACTTTCCATCACTGCAGTGTGTCTTGCTGAGTCAGCCACTCTGTGACCAGATCCTTTGACTTTTATTCAGAACGAATGAGTTGTGTCAAAGCTGGGAGGGCCTCACCCTTTCTTTAATGGCCTGGCAGATCCCTAGAGCTCTATAACTAAAGAGCAGCTTTAAGCTCTGGTCTGGGATTCAGGACTTTCATTGCCTCTGCGGTGTCCTCAGCCTGCCCAGCCATGTCCTAGTCTATGCTGACCAATACTGCACAGATTATGCATAGCTTTTATTGCTGCTACCAGTGTTTCCAACAGATTTCTTCTCAGGTCTGCTGAGCAACAGGTACTACCATTTACTAAGAAAGCAGAAGTATTTCCTCTCTTTGTGCAACATCCGACTGCAGAGAGGGATTACACCACCTAGCCTAAAGGAGATAGGTATGGTGGTTAGGCTCTGCTTCCCCCTTCATTGCTTTGCCTGGAAGAGCTGCTCAGAAGGAGACCACCTTTTGTCAGGAGAAGCTGCAGTTTCAGAAAAAAATAAAAGCCACCTAAACATTTACCCATTCTTTTTATATCAGATCATTTACGTGTAGATAGTGGAAATTCTAGTGTGCACCGTAGCTGTAGAGAGCAGGAGCCTACATGAACTTTTGACTTAGACTAAGTGCTTGCTTTCATCAAGCCCGAGGGGGAGTAAGATGTGGGAGCCTCCCAGCTAGAAGACCACCTGATGATGTCGCTGGTGGCCCTGTGTTTGGTGTTTGTGAATGGTCATGGGCGTGGGGAACAGATGGATCTCACTGGAGGATATGTCTCAGAAGGTAGTAAATTCTGCAAAGATGGGCTGGCGTGTGAGAAATTGCAGGGTGGATGTTGTACCTGGAATTAAACTGTGAGGCAGATAGTTTGCTTGCTAGCACCTGAAGTCACAGGATCTGGGCACAGCCAGGTTTCCAGCAAGAACTGTTGCAGCTAAAGGGAACAGGAGAAAGCCAGCTGCAGGAGAGGCAGTGGAAGGACTTCAGACATGACTGTATTTGTCTTTAGTTGAACAAAGATCATCAACACTTGGGCATATATAGAAAGAAGGATCCATCCCTGGCTCTCAGTGGTGAATAGCAGGTAGAAGAAAAGGTAGATTATGAGGACAGACAGGTCCCAATGCCCTCAGTCACTCAGTTTCATGCCTGTGGTCACACTTCCTTTAGAGTTGTTGAGCTCTGGAGAGTGACATCTGTTACCAAAAGAGCAAGGAGAACAAGGCCCTCTAGGGAATTTTTAACCACAAACAAGAAAATCTCTGGATTCCTCACCACCACAGAGGCTTTAGCCCTCTAGGCAGCCACAGAGCAGTCAGTGGAAACATTGAGTGAGGTGGCAAAAACTGTACAGCAGAGCAGAAATTAAAAGTACCCTGGTCAGAGCTGGGAAGGAGTTCAAGGCTTGAAAATTCCTCTTGCTGACTCACTCAGGGCGAGTCAAAGGCTTTTCCTGGCAAGTGCTGTTCACACATCCAGATTCTCAGCTTTCATTTAGAGAAGGAGTTGCTTTGAGTTCTCACAGGGCAGAAGAAAGCCACTTGCTTAGCGGTGGTACCCACAGCAAGGTGCCAACCTCCCAGCACTGCACGCCGTTGCTGTAGCACAGCTGTCCCTTGCTCAGCACCTCTGCTGGGTGCGAAGGGATCACCAGTTCCTCGTTTTCTAGGGCTGTTGGTCAGAGCTGGCTGAGTAGCAGGACACCTGGGAAGCATCATGCCAGTTTCATGGAGCAGCAGAGGAAAACTCCAGCAGCAGCTCACAGCCTGGAGCTGCCCACTGGAACACGGGATGGGAGGGATCCAGCTCACCAAAACCACATCTGCAGTGGTGGTACTGGCCTTGTCCCAGTATAGAGCAGATGAACTGAGGACTAAAAGAGTCTGTTTCTCTACACTGGCTACAAAGAGATCCATGGGGGACTGGGCAATGCATCTCAGATGTGAATGCCTGTATTGCCTGTGTGAGTCCTACCTGGGGAATCTAGGAAATCCAAAAAGCTAAAGAAGCAGTAAAGAAGCAGAGATACCTTTCTCTACCAAAGGACTTAAAGAGGGTGGCAGCAAAATCTTCATGCCACAGGTAGGGGCATATCAAGGGCAGAAGGAAAGAAAATCATCTCCAGGGCACCATCCTTGTGCTGGTCAAAAGCTAATTAGAAATGCTTTAGGCTGGAGAAGGGTCTATGTATAGTCTCTGAACAGATATCCCAGTGCCTGTGTTTCCAGGCAGGGAAGAAGATAACTTCTGCAGTGAACCCCGTGTCATCGGTCCAAACTTCTGGGTGTTTTTAGAGCTCGGTTCTCCAGTTCATGGGTGCCTGGCAAATTCCCAAATGGTATATGCCAGTGGGTGGGCAGGAGCATGGTTTAGCATAGTGCTCCATCAAGCAAGAAGCTGTAAACCTGCCATTGGTACCAGGCACGGGTCCTCCCCCTCCCGCTTGAACTGCCCCAGCTCCCTGAGCAATGGAGTGACTGAGGGTGCACTCCAAGGAGGGTGTTCCTGCAGCCTCTTCTCATGCACATGTTTTGCATTATCTCTATATTATTTGCTTTATAGCAATTATTCCACTCTTTCATTATGCTGGATAAATGAGAGTTCACTGTAATTAAAAGGTGTTAGCTAACCTGCCTAAAAAGAATAAGCCTTACCTAGAGAGAGCTTTTTGGGCCTAAACAATATGTTAAAACATGTTCAAACCATATATTCCTGTCAGCATTTATAACCAAGAGGGCACCCTGCTATTTCTTTCCGTAAACCAGTAAGGATAGACTGAAAAATTACATGCTGCTGGGTTTTAGGCCAGAGGAACTCTGGACGCTAGGTCAATCAATACGAGCCTGCTGAACTGTTCCCACTGTTGGGACAATTCATCCTTGTCACAATAACGCAAATTGCCTCCTTATCTTCTCTGGCAACTTTTAGATCTGCATGACAGCAACTGGGGATTCATTCCCCCCTACTTGTGTTTAAGGCCTTAACTAAGAAAACTAGGCGCTACAGGAGCTAGTAAATAATACAGAAATTTTGGGGTACATGAATCACCCACTGTATGTGCTGTTCTCCCCCCATGGACTATGAGGGACCCAGTTAAAGCCTCAAGTTGAACGCCCGTATGCAGAACTCTAGCAAACATCTTTGTGTTTCAGCCTAGGGGCTGTGTCTTCACAGGTAACTCACTAGTTGGGTTTTCTAAAGTGTTTTGACTCCAGTTCTGCTCTTGGTCCTGATACATCAGAATCCACAATATGTTGTGTCAACTTGAGGTTTCTCAATGCAGCAATGCTGTTACAGCACTGACAGTATCAAATATAAGCGAGAAGAGTTTGTGAAAAGAGACAGTATCTTCTATTAGAGCAATTTTTACATGCATTAATTTGGATTTCAGTTTTCTGACCTGCATTTTTCATGTCTTAACTACCAACCATTGACATTTGTCTCCTCTTGCTAGATCTTTTATAACTATATTGCAAGACCTAAATTAATATTACTGCAATATTTGAATTGTCATTTACATTTCCTTTTAAAGATCCCACTGTCTGCCTGGCAGCATTTTCAAGTACCTGAAAACCTTTTAAATCTGGTGTCTAGCTTCTTGTCTGTCCTTCCTTTTGCCCATCTGTAAAATGTTTGTAGTAAAATATGCAGTGTATTGTGGAACCTTGCTAATTGTTATTAGACTTGGCTGTGGTTTTGGCAAATCCTGGTGACAATATTTAGCAAAACCCTGACATGTTCAGTCTTTCAGGAAGGAATAGGTAATTTTGAGAGGCAGAAATGTGCCATTTTTTCATTTCTGTAAGAGGGCTGTGTGTGCATGCCCTACCTGTGAATTTTACCGTACCCTGCTCAAGTCAGAAATGAGTCCATACTTTGCATATGAAATTGCTGCAAGTGGCTGAAAATCTAGGAAAAAAGGGTCCAAGAATCAGCTTTTGATTCTTGTTTTTGGACAGGTTTGCTGCCCTTCAATGACTTGTATATAGACAACAATATTTGGGCAGCACGGAATATGCCTCTGTTTAACTTAGAAAGATATACTTTCAAGAGTGCATTTTTAACTAGATTTTTTCTGGTTTTGTTTTTATTTTCAGTCCTACCTCCTGTACTCGTTCCAAGACACAGTGAGTTTAACCCTCACCTCAGCCTCCTCGCCAAGTTTCGGAACACTTCTCTGCACAGCGAGCCACTGATGCCTCACAATGCCACCTATCCTGATTCCTTCCAGCATCCTCCATGCACCCCTTTTCCATCATCACCCAGCCACATGTTCTCCCAGTCGCCTAACAGCATCAGCTACCCCAACTCACCAGGAAGCTCTTCTGGACCAGGAAGCCCCTATCAGCTCACGGGTAAGAATGAGCTTTCAGACATCCTGACTGAGGCAGTCGAGGTTCTGGCCAGGGCCTGGAGTCAGGTGCCAATTCTGTGTGCTCCCCTAAAGGCTGTAGCTACAGATTAAGATGTTGGACAGGATGGATTTGGCACGTGATTTCTTGTGACTACCTCTTAGTATTGTCTCCCAGTCCTTCTGACAGATGCTCGACGGACTAAGAATTGTAGTAATCCCACTCCTAGAAGTGCCTGGATGAGACTTCATGATTACTGTAAGGGGAGAATTAAGGAGAGGAGCAGATGTGCCAGCCCACCTTCTGCCTATAGCTGCCCATCCAAGCTTCTGATACAATCCATGAAAAAGAGCACTTACAACACCTAAGTTTGTCAACTCTAATAGAGATGGTCAGGGTAGGGACCTTTAGACACTCCATCAAGAAAGACCAGGTAAAATGGGGAAATTGGTACGCAGAAATATTTTTTCGTGTATGGTGATCCCACTAGCTTTATAAACTTCAGGAAATTAAGGTGTTTGACAATCTGGCCTAACACTTGGTGAAGACACCAGGCAAATTCCTATGACTTTGGAACGTGTTTCATCAGCCCCACAGTTCTGAGGTCAGCAGGGTTATTGTCACTCAGATTGTTTGTGTTGTGAACTCCTTACTTAGTACTGCTCTAATTGCCTGGGAATTTAACTATGCTTTGACTGTTAAATACGCCAAAAAGGTGTCATGCATCACAGCTGACAGTTGGCTTTAATATCAAAACATGGCTCAGATTCACTTCTGCATTTTGTTGTAACTCTCAAATAGTTTCAATGATACCAAATTTTTCACAAAGATGAATTCAAGTCATATTCTTGTGGCTTATTGTTTTAATGTCTTACCTACAAAGCATTTAAATTTTTGTCCTTAGTTATATGCCTATTTTGACTTTAAGTTCAAGAAAGGCATTTATTTTTACAAAGTATTTGTAGTATTTGAACTTCCTTTCAAGCTAGAGACTTTCAACACAGTGTGATGTTTTTCCTTCCCTCTCCATTCATTGAATGGACCTTCATTCATTTCTTCTCTAGATCTATACTTCAGATTAAATCGTATTTAACGACATGGAAACATTTCAGCAAGTAGTAGGACTTGTTTGTCTTCTCCCATCTTTTTCTTTCACCTCTGTGTAACCAACCTGAATTCAGTGGAGCTGGTCCTGACAGGTAAATCAGGACCATTCCAACTATTTAATGACTCTGACTCGTGCATTTAACTGAACTTGGGACCTTGCAAAGCTACTTAAAAATGGAAGTGGCTCAACCTGAGCTTCAGTATATCACAGCACACAGTGTGCTGATAAGCATAATTTGCCTGTGTAATAATCAGGGATGGAAGACAATCTAAAGGAAACTGGAGTTACATCAAGAACCTTGAGTGCGATTGGTGTGACCAAATACAGATGTCAACAATGCAAATTTCTACATCTCATGCAATTGTCTATACTTTCTCTGTAATCAGTGGAGGAAAACAGGCACTCCTAGAACATTGCATCTGATGGTACATGTGTAAAGTAGCTGCAATGCACCATGTCTGCAGGTGCCGTTTTACTTTAGTGGGTAAAAAAGCGAGCTTACGGTGACTAGCTTTGGTGTAGACACCAAAAATATCTGTATAACCACATTGTCTTCCACTCTTTCTTGATTTTGTTTTACTAGTCTAGCTTGTTGCATTTTCTGCAGGAGGGTTATACCATCTATATGATAGAAATATCATATAGTGTATTAAATTCTTAAGTCCCGAACAATGCTTAAATAGAATAACATTCCTGTGCAGTATTTGACTTGGAAGACTCAATGGTTGTCTTATGAGACAGTTCACACTTATCCATTCTGGGTGAAGTTGCTCTGTTTTGAGGGCCAGCCAACGGAGCCTGAAGACAAGAAGAAATTTCAACATGGAACCAAGTTAAACCCTGGTCTTCTTAAGGAGATCCTTAGTCCTGCAATCTTGTATCTGGCTATAATCTACACATAAGCCCACTGAGTTTGTGCTCAAATGAATAAAACTACTTGCTTTTAGTGCTTATGCAGTGAATGTCGACATTTTCTAATACAAAAATAAAGTCCCTTTTTCTTTGGCTTTCTAAAGCCCCTTGTCTTTCTTGAGAATCCCCAATATAGAGTCACCTGTTTTCTAGATTACTATGCCATAAATGAAACAAATCAGGAGCTGGACAGGTTGTGAGTTGATACATTTTCTCCAGATTTTTTCGTCGTATCCATTGCTCTTTGATGGGAGACTGAACAAGCCAGAAGAGGGACAGCCTTCCCTTGTAGCACACAGGTAAAAAGGACAAATCTGAAGGGAGCTTTGCCAACTCTGATTGTAGAGTGTAAAGGCTTTCCATAGGCTTTTTTTATAGCCCATGAAGAAAGAGAGCTTATTCCCAGAGGATCAGTTAAAGTTAGCTTCTGATCTTAAATCATCCTCTTCAAGTTTTAAATTTGCAAGAGAAGTCTGGAACTGAAGGATCAAACTGTGTTACTTCCTAAGGATAACACCTGGTGTTAAGAGAGACCTTGACTGGACATCAGTCTAGGCCCGAGGCACTGTTGGGACTGTCCCTCCCTTTTTCAAGTGCAGCATGTCCAGTCTGACAGCCCTTCATTCCTGTCCTCCCTGAGCAAGTCTTAATCTGGAGACTGAAGTGAGGTCAGGTTGAGGTTTGTACTCTTGTTTCCAGCCCTTCTCTAGCTAAACAATGCTGGAGAAGTGTTCAGTATTTACCTGGAAAAGCCAGGGAGAATTTAACAGTGTATTGATTTAGGTGTCTTTTCTTTTTTTTTCTTTCTTTCCAATAGTGGAAACTCCACCACCGCCTTACCATGCAAGAGAACCTCCAGGAACCCACAATGGGCGGTCAATGGATGCATTAGCTGAAAGTCAACTAGTGTTGTCTTTGCCCAATGGAGGTAAATCTGCCGATGGAGAAGCTGAAAGTAAATAACCGTTTGTACTATTCTTCAAAGCAAATAATAATAATGTTATTTGAACAAGAAGGTTCAGTGATCTGTAATAATAGGGTCCAGACAGGTTTACTGTAAGGCTGTGTACTAGACCTGTCCATTAGCTAGCAGAATAGGTTGATTTAAGAATTCAGTGAATTATGTGTGAAGTTGCAGAGTTTAGACTTTATTTGCACCCAGTTAGAAAGCTGTTAATGAAAGTAAACACTGTTATCTACGTTGTAAAGACAAAGTTATCAAATCAAGGATGGTGAGGCGATATAACACACAAGAGCACTATCTATATCAGAACTGATTTCTTTATCACCCTCAGTTCTTGATTCCAAGTACTTGAAAGCCTTGTGGTTGGGACCTTTTCTGCTGCCATCTTTGTATTAATGTCACATTACTGGCTGGCTAGAAAAAGACACGTTCTAGTGAAGTACAAAGAGATTTTTACAGAATACTAAACTCTTTGTCTTCATATAAGAATGCTTTAATGGGAGAGGGCATGGGTAGTCAGAATATAAGGGTCTGGGCAGGTCTCCACTACTTCCAGCCTAGTAGTGGTAGGTGATGCCTCTACCATTCAAAGCCCATTGCTGCAGAGCAGCAGGGGGAAATGGAGTTTTCTTTTGGCTTCCCGCTGCTGCAAAGGAAAAATCACCATTGTTCTTTTAGTCCAGCATATTGTAGTCCACACATGCACATTAAAAAAATAATGCCAGCCTTCTGAAACAGTGAGGACCATGTGTGTATCACAGAACTGGAGCAGAGGGAAGGTGAGAGTGGTAGTGCTAATTACAGATGAGTACGCAGAATGGCCAGATAATAACTAGTTATCAGACACCAATACTTTTAAATAAATTGCTGGGGTAATTTAATCTCTTTACCATAGTTTACCATCTGTGATCACTGCCCTAGTGAATGTTAGTTGGCAGTTTATTTGAGGTTATGCACAGAGGTGCTCTAGGGGCAGGAGGTCTCACATGCCTATGGTGTGCAGGCAGGATAAGGTTTCCCACTAACTCCTGTAGGACAAATGAGACTTGGAGATTCTGTTACATTTTTGAGTCTTTCTCTGTCTCTGAGTAAGAAAACCTGGCAGGGGTAGATCCCAAATAAATGACCTTGCTGACATTTCAGCTTACGGTCCCACATGGAAGCAGAAAGGCCCAGAGCATGCAAAAAACTGGGGGGAGTGATTGATTACTTCTGAACTTCAGAGTTTGGTATTAGGCTGAAGGCTTCGCTCAGTTTTGACTTGCTTTGAGCCCATCTGTCATCCTTAGCTCCTGCTGGTGTGCAGAGCAGATGTATCCCGTGCTATTTTCAGTGTAGAGATTGGGCCCTGGTTCAGCAAGGAATGTCAGCATGTGCTTAATTTAATGCAGGGAGTTATCACTTTTAAGAACAAGTGGGACTCCTCAGAGGCTTAGAATTAAGCTGGTGTACCAGCCCTTTGCATGTTTGGGGCTTCAGTCATAAAATTAAGAAGAAACAGAAGCTGCTGTTGAGATAAAGCGTGACATAAATAACTGTTAAGATGAAGAGCCAGGATGGGGGTGGAAATTAGAGTGGGAGGGAGGGAGGAAAGAAAACAGAGAATGCTTGTTTAAAAAATATTACTGAGACCTGAGCAGCTGATTAATTTTATTTCCTACAGACTTTCGGCCTGTTTGCTATGAGGAACCCCAACATTGGTGCTCAGTTGCCTACTACGAACTCAACAACCGGGTAGGGGAAACTTTCCAGGCTTCTTCTCGAAGTATCCTTATAGATGGATTCACGGATCCTTCAAATAACAAAAACAGGTTCTGCCTGGGACTGCTCTCAAATGTAAACCGCAACTCCACTATAGAAAACACCAGGAGACACATAGGAAAAGGTAAGAGGAAACCCCTTCTCCTTGGGAATATTCAGAGCTTGAAAGAACCCTGCATTGCATTAACAAACCTAGCTGATTTGTGAGGTGTGCTTGTCTTAAAACCAAAGCACTGAGATTACTCCTGAAATAGAAGAAAAGCAGCTGATTCTTTTCTGACTGGATAACAATCAGCAGAGTAGCTCCTTACAAAAGCTATTTACTTGGCCAGCGAAGAGAAAAATGTTGTTTATAGTTGTGTATTCTAATTTAGCAGTATGTATTTTCATTTTATTTATTAGAGCTTCTGGCAGCTGGGAATATTGCCATTGAAATGCCACTAAAAGGATAATTGCTGGTGCCTCAGGGCTGGTTCTCCTACCACCAAATAACAAAGGGAGATGGATGAAACACTTAAGAGTTGGGTTATTTAGCTGAAGAACTCTACCAAAGTTGCCTTTGTAGCTTTCTCCCCCTACTCGTCTGATTCCCTGCCTTGTCAACTTCTTGCCAGTAAAATTGTCTTGGATTCTCCCTCCAGCAGTTCTCCTTGCATGCTCCACTTCTGGTGTACGTATACCCTGTGCATGCAGGAGCATATGCTACTAGTGACATGTACGAGGAGACCACACCTGGACATGTGTGGCTGCACACACTCCATCCCAGCTCACTAGGGCTGTGTAGGGCCTGATATTCTCCCACAACTTACTGTTGGTTGTGGCAGTGAGTCAGAAGCCCTGAACCGGCCACTTCTCTGTGCAGATGAAGCTTTGCCTGTTCTGGTATATCCAGTCTAGACTCATTATCTTGCCAACCCAGCCTCTCACCAGTAGCTGCCTGGGAATGGATTTCCCACTGAGCTAATTAACTCTAATTGTTCCACTCTTATTATCTTGTCAACCTCACCTCATTTCCCAGGCCTAGAGCAGTATTTTAATTGGCTCTTGATAGTCTAGTGTTGAATGACTGAATACGAAGAAGCTCTGAGATGAATGTGACATAGTTTTTACAAACAACCGTGAACCTGAAGGCTAGCACAGGAGATCAGAGAATCATAGACATGTTGTACTTAGCTCTTGCACTTTTTTTCCAGAAGGGAAAGCAGATGTACTGTGTGAAGCTAGTGTGATGCTACAAGTGTCTGTCATAATAGTTTGTGGTGAGGGGTGGAAATGAGTTGTACCTCTAGCTTTAATTTACTCAGTAAAGTAACTCAGTAACTTCTCCATCAGCATAAGCTGTCGGAGGGATGTAGGTCAAAGCTGAGCCCAGCCCTAAAAGAAGAATGACAAAAGGTCTCAGTCAAAGCTGTCATTTGAGGATGTTATGTTCTGTGACTTTTTGCCCCAAAAGAGGAACAGACAGAACAGGAAGAAAATGAGGTAAATGCTAAATGTCCTCATCCATTCAAATCTGAAGATCTGTTTTCATTGATTAAAAGTCCTTTAAAGTCTTACACTAGGAATCTGCCCAAGGGAAGGGAGCAGGTTGCCTAGAGAGGAGCTTAGTATATCAGAGATCCTTAATTTTACTGCTCTTCCTTGTTTATGCAAATCTTAAAAAAAACATGTTCGAGTGGAATAGAAGTGGCACCAGCACAGGCCTGCAGAAGAGCACAGAACTGATCCAAAAGTGTGTAGTTCAAAGGCGTTCTGGACAGATGAAAGCTACTGAAATGGATACAATTGTCACATGTTAACAGGGGAGAAAAAAGAGTGAGTAAACAAGATTAGCTCAGTAGGATAAGGATATGTGATTGAATTGTCATCTAGAGTATCAGCGTGAAATGGTTTCCTGGAAATACCACATCAAAGCTAAAAACAATCCAGAACACAATGCAACATCTACTAGCAATTGGACCTGTTTCAGCAGTCAGACTTCAAGGACAAAAAGGGGACTTCTGATCAGAGTGTCAAGAAGATGTGGCTGCTTGGAGACTGCTGAATTTCCAGTTTCTGCAGAGAGCAATGAAATCCCACTAAAACATATGGACCCTTGATTTGGTCTTCTGCAAATATGTATTCAGCTACTTGGCTTCCTTGAGGGTGCTTGTCTCTGCAAATGAGTACCAGAAGAATGGAAATATACACTGACATTTCATTACTGATGTATTTATTGCTTTTGAAAAGTCCACAAGGAAAAAGCAAATTGTAGCCTCTGCTTTCAGAAGTGACTATAGTGTTTTTGTTATTGTGGTACACAGTTTGGGCAATGCCTTTGAAAGCATTCTTTTTTTTTTTCCAGAAGTTGGGTTGCTCGATATACTCTGAAAATCCAGACTTAAAAGTTTTCACCTTATCACCCAGATGTGTAGGTCACCCTAAACAAGTAGCCTCTCCTGAAGATTTGAAGTGTGGTGAACATTTATGTCCTTGTTCTCCTCTCCATACCCTGTGTTCTCACTCTGTTTATTTCAGAAAGTTGTATGAAGTCTCTCAAGGTCAGCTAGGACCTTTGTCTTTTCAGTCCTTCCCTTTTATCCATCTTCCAGAGAAGGGAAAGGAGTCACAGGTCAAGTGAGAGCAGTCACAACGTGCAGCACCCCATGATGTCCGGTACAGTTGGACTGGAGCTGACGACTGGTCTACTGGAGTTGTCATCTCACCCGTGTTCCCAGTGCAGTACTGGCATGTGCTCCCAGCCACACCCCCCACTGCCACTCACGTCTAATTTGAGAGCTCGTGGGTACAGAGAAGTAAAAGTCAAGTGATGGCTTGAAGACAGACTTCAAGGTTCCTGTCTGAGTCACTCTGGAAGTCTATGGGAGAGCGTATTTTTCCCAGATTCTTTTCCCACTCAACCTGCTTTTCCCCAAGACTTTCCCACTTGTCTTCAGAGGCTGTTTTTGTCCTAAGGATGTGCTTCTGCCCCTTGCTGTCATGACCACAGAATGGTGAACAGGCTGGGAATATGTAACCAGTCTTTTTTGTATGAAAGGCAACAGGAATAAAAATAATTGCAAGTGAATTATTAAAGCATAGTTATCACTAGGTTTCCAGGCAGTCCACTGAGACTCTGTGAACATGTGCATTTGTATGTAAGGGTTTGAATGCCATACCTGGGAACAGAGGGGAGGACTTTCTTTTTATTTAGTGGTGGCTTTTGTGAGAACAAAGAACTGAGTTCTTCCACCTCTCTTGGCCATGGGAGGAGTTCCTCTCACCTAATCTAGCCATGGGAAGGGTGAGTGTCTAAGCACCTTCACAGGATGACTCGCCCCCCTTCAGGGTGTGGTTTCATGCTCACGTTTAAGCAGTCTGGGTGCCCCAGTGCCACCCTTCCACGGATGAAGATCTCACTGCAAATAAATCTTGTTTTCTTTTCTTTGTTTTTAATTTTATTGGCTGGTTCAGTGCCTCAGTCTGTGTGGCTGCCCAGTCCCCAGCCGTTGCTGCCAGGGTGAAGGCAGGTGTGATAAGAGGCAGCAGGGGCAGGGAACAAGAGAGCCTTTTCAGCACCTGCACAGGCTTCCATCAGCTTGAGCTGGCTGTGAGCCCACGCTCTGTAGCAGCTGTAGTGAATCATCTGGTAATCACAGTGCTTCTCATCATCTTTCAGCTAGAGAAGTCATCCCCACAATTAGCTTACACAAGATCCCTAACTTTAAGGTTACTGAATTGGGCTAAGATAAATTCTCTCACCAGTTTAGGTGTATTTTTAATGCAGGTAGACATCCTGGGGGGACCATAGGACCTTCATTTCCCCAAGGCACAGTAAAAAATTAGAATTAGTGTTGGTAAGTCACTTGGGCACTGAAAAGTTCAGAAGGAAAGCAGTCATTTTCTTGCTAAAGGTCTCTTTGAACAGGATCTGATGAGAAAGTCATGTCACATAAATGCAAGTACATGGTTCTGATGTGATGTATAAAACAAAATGCAGAAAAGCTATTTTAAGTACACACTGTGCTGTGTTTGAACTGCATGAGACAGGATCCTGTAGTAAAAAATTAGCATACAATGAAGTGGGTCTTGGTCAGTGTGAATGTACTCAACAGTGAAAATAGATGTAGATGTGCAATGCATAACAGATTTGTCCGTTCTTTGACAGTTTGATCCATATTTTGACATATGTTGGACATATATGTGTGTGTGTACATATGTGCATTCTGTGCTTCATGAAGTACTGTGCAGGTGGACCTGCTTTGGCAGAGGGGTTGGACTAGACGATCTTCAGAGGTCCCTTCCAACCCCATATCATTCTGTGATTCTGTGCTGTTGGATTAAGGAAGTAAACTAACCTTCACTGAGAAACAAGGCAGAACATCATGAGCCAAGACTTTTTTCTCCTAGATCAGTACCTCCAAATGGCGCTTATGACAATTTCTTCTTAAAAAGTTGGTGGGTCCATTGTATAGATACATGGATATGCACACAGAGCATATCCAGTGAGCGCTTAGAGATCAAGTGCTTGGAATGCTCCTGGGCTTGTACGCCCACACCAGTAAGATAGTTAAAGAATTACTGGTATAAAGTGCGTTGTGAACAATGGAGAAATAATATAAGTGTTTTTTTTTCTTGTTCAAGGTGTTCATCTTTACTATGTTGGTGGGGAAGTTTACGCTGAGTGTGTCAGTGACAGCAGTATTTTTGTGCAAAGCCGCAACTGTAACTACCAGCATGGTTTCCACCCAGCCACCGTCTGCAAGATCCCCAGCGGCTGCAGCCTCAAGATCTTCAACAACCAGCTCTTCGCCCAGCTGCTTGCCCAGTCAGTCAATCATGGGTTTGAAGTGGTGTATGAGCTGACCAAGATGTGTACTATTCGAATGAGCTTTGTTAAAGTAAGGGTTCTTTGTTTTCTCATGTGTTTCTGAAAAGGCAAATCCCATCACTTGCAAGCTTTGGTGCTAAACTAGACCCCATCAGATCCTTCCCTTCCTAAATCCTTGGCGATTTAGACACCCAACTTGCAAATAGCAATTCAGACTGCCTGTTTTCCAGTATTGCCTTAAACTTCTAGGTGCTTAAAAACAGTAGCTTTTGTGGTCAACCTGGAAATGTCTTAGATTCCAAAAATTAGGTATTCCGTACACTTCTTGTGGAAAATAAGCAGAGATTGAATAGTGATGTTCCCCCATTGATTGCACAAAGAGCTCAACTTAGAGGGGCTTAGCAACGTGTAAATGTTGTGGCACATATCTTAGGCAGTCGTGATTTCTCCTATCGTCACTGGTTTACAATAAAGCTCGGTAGGGCAATAGATCTGAAAAGAATGACCTTATGGCTCTAGCCTAATTTAGTCTCACCGTTAATGTAGACTGGTATATATGGTCTTAGTCAAGAAACACTGGGTTCCCCTTCAGCCCCCACTGTGCTTGCTGGAAATTGTTGTTTGCCACTGGTCTGATCACTGGGAAGACGTTGTCTTAATTTCTGTTGACGTTCACTCTGGCCAGGCACACTACTAGAAGGGCTTCTGGCAAGCAGAATACAAAACCCAAAAGAAGATCTTACCTTCCCCGTATTATTTGGAAGAGACAGGAGACTGTCAAAGCCATTACTGTTTCCATGTCTTTCGTGTCTGAATTTTGCAGTCTGACTGCTCTGTGTGTGATGCAACAGTCTTTGTGGGAGTTTCTTAAATCTTCTGAATGGCCTCCTCGCCAGAATGAAATCTCTTGACTCCTTTTAGCTCTTAGGATTTACTTAGGTGCCTATTGTAGCATCTAAGCCCCAGAGAACAGTGAGTATTTCAAGACTGTTAACAGATGCACTGGGCTGGCTGTCTATAGTTCTGCTGGGGAGAGCTGGCAGCAATGTTCAGCCTGCTAACTAGAGAAGATGTACCATTAGAAGCAAGTTGGTCCTGCTAGGTACCTTAAAAATGGCTTGAGCATGTCCGTTTGTCTTGCAGATTTGGTTCTATACAAATGACGGAACCAAGCTGATTGAATTCACATCTAGGACACTGCAAAACTGCTTAAGGCTCCAGCCCAGTTCCCCTGTGTTCTTCAAAGCAGATGAGTTGAGTCCCACACACCTTTCTGGTTCTGACTCTTTCCAGCCATCCTTGGGGACCCATCTGCTTAACCTTCTGAGAGCATTAAGAAGGCCCTGTAATTTTTCCCAGGAGTCCAAGCCAAAATCTCTCTGCCTGTGACCATGCTTTCTTTTTGCTTGGGAAGGAACTGACATCTTGTTCACACGCAAGCATTAGGAGAAAAAAAAAAAAAAAAAAAAAAAAAAAAAAAGCAAGAAACCCAACAAACAGCATTTTCTTTAATGGAAGGCATGAATGGGCATGTTGTTTATAAAGGCAGTGTAGCCAGTTATGCAATATTTTCATTATCTCAGCAACTCAGGGGTAGTGTCTTTGATGTGTTATCTGCCTCCATGCCCAGCACGGCAGCAGCAATGGTGGTGTTGATGCACTCAGTAGCGCTGCTGCCATATTATCACCTTGCTTGGTTGAAACAATAGCAGCCACTATAGTGCCTCAGGCACCAGAAGACCAGTGCTAGGAGTTATTTTGAACCCTTTCCCATGACCTTTGGAAAATGTCTATGCAAATCTTATCTAGATTCTTCCTTTCTGGCCTATAAAAGCCTTTTCCTGTAGTCAGTCTTCTCAGATTATTTCTCTCCCAAAGTGTGAGCGCCAGTGTGTTCAGTCTGGGGGCAGGAATGCCCTTGGGTGTTGGGTACGAAGTGCACAGAGGAGCATATTATCTGTCAGAGCCACACGCCAGGAGCCCCCAGGTGTAGGGCAGTCCTGTGGTTTCTCCCCTGATTTGTGACCAGGTGCTGCTGGTCACTTACAGCCCCCAGAGCAAGCGAGAGCCAAATGGCTGGAGATCCTGCCTCCTACCCCTTCAGTGCTTGAGCTGGGAGGCAGAGATGGGTAAGGACCAAGACATGAGAAACTTACCAGGACTGCATCATCTTGTGGAGGCAAGACATGGGACAAGAGAGATGAAGGTCCTGTCCCCTCTGATACCCTTCATGAGCCCACAGAGCAGCTGGGAGGAGCTCAGCCCTGAGGCCAACGTGAGTCAGAGCAGACAGCAGTTTCCATCTGCTTAGCACTGCCAATAATCAAAACAGGATGGCTGTTGTCCCATCTCCACAGATGAGGAACACAAAATGTTCCTGAAGCACTGGAACAGGCTGCCCAGGGAGGTCATGGAGTCCCCTTCTCTGGAGATTTTCAAGACCTGCCTGGATGCAGTCCTGAGTAATGTGCTCTAGGCAACCCTGCTTCAGCAGGGGAGTTGGACCAGATGATCTCTGGAGGTCCCTTCCAACTCCAACAATTCCATGATTCCGTGAAAGTGGAGAGACTAAGAGTTTCTCTAAGCCAGAGTCTGAACCCAACGCCCTCCCTCCCACATTTCCCCAAGTCTTGGAGCTGAGCAGATGACCCAGCAGACTTGGCCGTGCTCACCAGCAAGAGGCAGCTCAGCACTGTGGGACATGGCTGGGCAACGGTCTGGAGAGAGCTGTTGCCCACAGGGTGGGAAGGTCTGGCAGGAGCAGCAGGACCCATAGGCTGCTCTTTCTTGTGCTGGAAGGGACATGTCCCCATGAGGGTATCAGTAGCCTCTTCCCACCATCTGCGCAAAGCACCACCACAGCTTTGCAAGTTGTTTTCATTTAATTCCCTTGTCGAGCACACTCCACCTCCGAGCCTGTTTGAGCTCTGGGGATGAAGGAGGCTCCCTGTGGTCCAGGAGTGATGTACGGGGGAGCACGGGGGTCCTGCTCTCCTGGCATTGCCCTGCTGGCAGCTCCAGGAGGGGCAGCCGGGCTGGGGAAGGAGACTGAGTGTCTGTGAGTTGCCAGCAGAGGGAGATGCCCGGCCACCGACAGGCTCTGCCAGGCGCCTACAAATCCGGCAGGTTGCTCCTGCAGCCTGTAATTCCTATTCCTCCGCCTTTTGCATCCTGCCAGTCAGCAGAGGAGCAGGACTCCTCTGGCGCTTGCCCTTCTGGCCGTGTAGCTTCTCTGCATCCGAGTAGACCTCACAAACTGAGAAGCCTGACAGCGCTGGTTTAGAAAGTGATATTTTATGCAAACATTTCCAGAATATAAATCTGAGTTGCCTGTGAACACAGGCCCTTCCTAGCCATAAATGCTCTGCAGGTCAGAAAGTTGCTGCCTGATTAAAAATACTCTTTGGGCTTTGATGGGTCCATATCTTGCTCTTCTGCTTTCTTCCTCCTTTTCTTCATTAAGGAGAAAAGAATTTTACTCAGACCACTTATTGTGCCATCTAATATTGGTGTTGATCCTAGTTTTGCAGCTGATCGTTCTAGAGAAGAGGTTTCTAGCAGCCTCAGTTGCCTGAGTTGTTCAGCGCTCTACAATTTAGGTGCCTTTGGTGGGCATCAATCTTAACATACCTCCATGTCCTTTTTTCACAACAAAGAATATCAAACCCCCTGACTAGCATAATGAAAGCTAAGGCTCAGCTTCTCTGATCAGCAGCCCACAAATGAAGAGCCTCATCCTGCAGTGGGACCATGTTTTGCACATTGCCCTAGGGAAATCCGAGTTCAGTTCTGGCAGTGAGACAGCAGCTTAGCTGTGAGACTTCAGGCTGTGACTTGGATGTCGAGCTTCGGGCTGTGAAATCACAGTGGCTGCCTTAGCAAGCAGACACTGTGCCTGCTTGAGGCACAAGGACTTCTGCTTCTCTTCTCTCCCTGCCAGCACTGCATCCTCATCTTCCGTCAAACACTCCGTGTCCCTTATCTCCCTAAAAGAGCTGGAGAAATCACTACAGGACTTCCCACAGCAGACAGTTGGGAAGAGAGGGAAAAGAGGATGTGTAGTGATAGGACGAGGGGTAATGGTTTTAAATTGAAAGAGGGGAGCTTTAGATTAGGTACTAGAAAGAAATTCTTTACTATGAGGGTGGTGAGACACTGGAACAGGTTGCCCAGAGAAGTTGTGGATGCCCCATCCCTGGAAGTGTTCAAGGTCAGGCTGGATGGGGCTTTGAGCATCCTGGTTTAGTGGGAGTTGTCCACCACCCATGGCAGGGGGGTCGGAACTCGATGATCTCTAAGGTCCCTTCCGACTCTAACCATTCTATGATTCTATATTCAAGAATAGAAAACCTATGGAAAATGTCTATACGTAGGTTAGGTAAGGCACATAGGAACCTTGCTGGAAGTTTCCAGAGGCTCAGATAAATACCTAGAACTTCTCAGATTCGTAGGATGCATCTCTACCAAGGAATGAAACAGTGCCCAGGATCATTCCCAGCTCCTGTTAAAGTGTTATGACAGGGCCTGGCCTGCTTTTCCTCTGTGCCAGCCAGCACAGTCTGGCAGACGTTCCTGGGCACCTCTCTGGGGTGCGAACAGCAGGGACCATTCCCCATGGGCTGCTTGCAGGCAGCCAAGCTTGGAAACAGGCCTTTCCATGCCAGTTGGTCTCAGCATCTGGAAGTGTGACTAAGCATTTTAAATTTAATATTATGGAGTCCCTGATAATTATGATAACAATGACCTTAGAAAGGAGCAAAGTTTCTAGAGAAAATTATCCCTAGGACAAAGCATTAAATTTTGGGAACTTGGGTGGTGGACTGCCTGTAGTTGTGTTAGACTGACAGTACTGGAGTTGTGATGTAGTATTGTTATTTTAAAAAAACAACCACCCTCACCTTTTGGTCCTTTGATGCTTTTATAGGGCTGGGGAGCAGAGTATCATCGCCAAGATGTTACAAGCACGCCCTGCTGGATCGAGATCCACCTGCATGGACCATTGCAATGGCTGGATAAGGTGCTGACACAGATGGGCTCCCCTCATAACCCCATCTCCTCAGTCTCTTAAGAATCATCTCTAGAATTGCCTTAGGATGGATGCTATTGCAGGCAGTGGCTTATAAGATTTCCAGTGAACAGAAGCTTCTATATGTAGATGTATGTAGATGTAAATATATCTATACATAGTCTCCTTTTTTTTTTTTTTCATGCTACATTTTGTGGTTTCTAGTTACTCTGATGCCAGTACAATAAGTTTAGAAATTCAGGTATGGCGTATCTGTTCTCTAGTACAAAATAAGCCAAATTCCTGCAAAAGTGTCAAACATTTCCTGTGAGCATCTTCATTCCCCAGCCAAGCCAGTAAACGGTGCGAATTCTCAGCACTTCCATGCGGATTCAGAAACCTGGCTGTAGCTGTTCCTAGTAGGTGAAATTCACCCCTCTGCAGGCAACCAAAGTCAGATCTCTGCACCGTTTATATCCATTTTACACCCTAATTTCAGGTCTAAAAGAGGACCTTAGGTGGTGCACAGGCCTTATGTATAGAGATGACTTTTACCCAGTGAACTGAAGGACTAAACTGCAATTCCAGTCAGTCTCCTTACTGCAAAGCACGATGAGACAACAGATCCTCTGAGGAGCTGAGGCACCACTGTCTCCCTTAGGATTTGGCAGGAGGAGAGGGCCCTCGGGACGTGTTCAGCCCTGGAGCCCTGTCAGAGCATTCTGGACACATCCGAGTAGTCTGATGCTGTTAACTCAGTAGCGTACGGTACCGCTGCACTGAAAAGCAACAAGCTCCTGAGAAAAAATAAAGAAGAAAATTTGAAATATATGCCTATAAGTTAAAAACTAATTAACTTCCAGTGCTTTTCTGCAAAGTACATACATACTTGCATATGTATCTGGCATGTAAACTGAATCCTATCCATTATACAGTATTGATGTAGTTTGTTTTAAAGTTAGGACTGTCTGTAGTTAGACTACTGTGCTGATATCAAGGGTACGTCTAAATGGGACTTGAACTGTGCTTCAAAAAAGGGAAATGAAGTGTGCATTGAAGAACCGAATAACTGCTTTATCCTTCGTCTTGGCGTGGTCTCTGTACTGGGAACAGGAAGCCCCACGCTCCCAGGATGCGAAGAGAAGGAGGGGGGAGTCAGGCACCTCCACCCCCTGCGCTGGGCCAGTCCTCAGGATCTGTCTGCAACGCTTGGGTCTGAGAGAGGGTTTCCCTGCCAGTCACTCCGTACATCCCCGTGGATGAGTCTTCATCTCAGATACTACAGGTCTCATCATTGGCAGCGCTTTTGCCTTCCCGGCAGAGGATGGTGAGGCAGCGTAAGCCACAAAAAAATGAAGAGTGAACCTATGTGCAGAACCTTTTTGAAAAGCTCCTTGTCTGCAGTCCTTCTGTACACAGGGAAACCCATCGCCCATAATCTCTAGCTTTACAAAATGCTGTTCGCTTGGTTGCCTGTTCTGAGGAGGCAAGTGAAACTCTTGCTGCATTTTGATGGTCCCCATTACCGTGCTGAAAGGGCAGAGGATTAATTCTTTCCAGGCATAACAGTCCACTGAAAATTGTTTTGCTTTAAGTCTCAGAAAGAGTGATAACTTCTCCAATCTCATTCCTCCTTAGAACACACCAGAACTTTCCCAAGTTAAAAACCCCAGCTTTTACAGAATGTTTCTTCTCACACAATGTCTAGTGCTACATATTTTACTGCATAATTAGAAGAGGATATCTGAAATCTTCAGCTACATCACATACGAATTCAAGTAACATTCACTGGAGAGACTTTCCACGTGTTTTAACTTAGATGCAACGTAACACCTGTTACAGGATGGTAACTACAGCAAAGCAGGAGAATCAGTAAACCAGTAGGGTTACTTCATCTGAATGCGTCTCCGGCTTCAGAATTAGTAGGACACAGAAGGATAAATTTTTGTTAAGTTTGAGCAGTAATAGCAAGTTGTATAGGAAATTTGTAAATGCAAAGAACCCTATTCTCTCACCGTTTGACGTCAGCAGTGTCGCTGTGGGATAGGAAAAGCTTTACAGTCTCCTGGAGCAATGAAATCCAATAGTAATGTTACACAGAAATTCCAGGTGTGCCATTTGCTGTTCAGCAGACTTGAGAGAGATCAGCTTGGAAAAAGACATTTTCCTCAGTTCCCTCCCTCCTTCCCTCAGTGTCACTCTACTGAGGTAGTGGTGACACGTTTTTTAGCATGTTTATTGCACCCTTTCTCCAGTAATTTCTCTGTGCTTTTTATGTTGCTCCTTTTCTTTCTTAGCAGCCAAAGACAGAGAAAATCACCTCTCCTATCCAGGATCTAGTTCTGTCCTTTATCCTGGATTCTTCCTTGCCTTTTAGGCTGAAATCTCCTTCCCTCCTAATACAGAGAGGAGCCTAGGGGTTACTTTTAGACATTCCCAGCATTGTCATCTTCCTTGCAGAGAGCAAAGGGGGATGTTCTGAGGGGCATCTGCTCTTGGGCATGGTGGCAAACAAGTAAATAGTAAGTAAATAGAAGGAAAACCCCTGCCCAGATGCAGTGATGAAAAGTAAGGCAAACAAACCATTCATTTCCCTTTCTTTTTGAACAAAGTCTCTCTCGCGGGCTTCTCTAGTATGTGATTTGAGATCACTTAAAAAGACAGGTTTCTCATAATTTACAGCAATGTAACTTTGTATCTCACTTTAATGTCTCCTCATTTTGGAAGGAGATATTTTCTGCTGAAAGGTCTTCACGAACCTATCATCCTGTAGTCAATTTAAAGCCTTTAAATGCACTCATTAATACTCGAGCTTTGGAGATAGGCTTCCTGAGAGATTTAAAACCACTTACAGAGAAACTACTTAGTCAAAGGCAGATTTTTTTTTAGATGTTGTTTTTTTTTTTTTTTCTGAGCCATCAACAATTCAAACCCTCCTGAAAGTTTCTGTGGAGGAGTACCCTGCATCAGCAGGCAGTGGTGGGGAGTGTGATCAGGCAGTGGCATAGAGCACATTCATCATGGTACGTAGACCACTTGTTCTCCTGTTAAGTCGCTGAGAGAAGACGACTGCTTAACTGCTGCCAGTTCTTCACTATTAATGTGCCATTTGCATCCAGAGGTGACAGAAGCACATCTGGCACACTGACTGCGTGGAGCCGTTCAGTGGCACTGCTGCTCTGATGGCTCGGTCCCATGTCCTCACGCCGTAACCGCTGATCAGGTGCATGTAGCAATGGCTGCAGCATTCAGAAGTGCAGCACACCCCACCAGAGGCTGCCCCACAACCGTCTTTTCTCCTCGTGAGCGGGGAGACCTTATAGCTCCAGGGAGACCTTACGGCTCTGGGGAGACATTACAGCAGCCTTCCAGTACCTAAAGGGGGCCTACAGCCTACAAGAGAGATGGGGAGGGACTCTTTATCAGGGACCGTAGCAATAGGACGAGGGGTAACAGTTTTTAAACTGGAAGAGGGTAGATTCAGATTAGGTATCAGGAAGAAATTCTTTACTGTGAGGGTGGTGAGGCACTGGAAGAGATTGTCCAGAGAGGTTGTGGATGCCCCATCCCTGGAAGTGTTCAAGGCCAGGCTGGATGGGGCTTTGAGCAACCTGGTCTAGTGGGAGGTGTCCCTGCCCATGGCAGGGGGGTTGGAACTCGATGATCTTTAAGGTCTCTTCTAACCCAAACCATTCTCTGATTCTATGATTCTTTTCTTGCTGTGCTCAGTCAGAAAGATAATGTATCAGCAACAGGCAGGGGAACTGTGGCCCCAAGTAATATCAACTAGAGTTGAGGAAATTCCTTCATGTCTCCAGCAGATACTGTGTCAAGACTTTCACCACCCTGAGCAGCCATCTCTGAGTGGTCCCTGCCTTGTGGAGGGATCTGATGCCCTGCGGAGATCCCTTCCAATTTACATTATTCTGTGGGTCTGTGCAGATTCAGTGCTAACTGGTGGCCAGTCAGGAGCTCTCTGTTAGCAGAGGCTGTTTCAGGATGAAGCATGTTTATCCTCAGCTATTTCCGCACAAGTTCAGTTCAGGACAGAGTTACAAGGTATTAATGTTCCCTTAGTATATAATCAACACTGCAAACATCTCTCACTGTCAACATCATCTCCACCACACAACTCTTAAAATGGAAAAAGAAAAAAAAAAATGGGCATTTGTGACTGTAGCCTTACCTAATCTGCTCTTGTTCTTCCTGTCTTAAAACACTCACCTTCTGCTGTAAGATCTACAAATCAGAAAGTCTCGTCAGCAACTGAGGAGTTGCACAAACAGCTGGATTTACAGAGGCAGCTCAGGCAGAGAATGTTTCCTTCTTGGCTGGATGGAAATGATTTCTAAAGAAGCTTGATTGAATTTAGTAACTCTGAAGAGGTCTCAAGTATATGGCCAATTTTCTTGGCTCATTAGAGACTTCTCTGGTACAGCTATAGCTGAAAGCTGTAGCTTTCAGGAACACTTGAGCATTATGTGTCAAAATGACAGAAACATTACATCCGCTGTACTATTCACCTCTCCCCCCAGCTCTCCATAACCTAACAGTAAAACCAAAACCAAACACAATAAAGAAAGATTAATGAGTCATAGAGTAGAATAATTAAATACCATTTTTCAAAGCTGAGAGGTGCTGCCGAGAATGTAGATTTATATCATCAGAAGTGTACTGACTGTAACATGTCCCATGTGCTCACCAAGCCAAAGGCAAGAACTCCTTGCTCTGGAGAAGCCTGGGGTGTAGGGTGTTACTTGAACCTCTGAACCCAACCAAACCCTTCTGGGAGAGTGGAAGATGGGGCTGAGATTTTTAGAGGGCTTCTAGTTCACGGTTGGTTTCTGTAGCCAGAGGCGCATTGAGAGGATGAAGGGAGGAGGGAGCATATGACCAGGGACGCTCAGTGGTCATCACAGGAGGTGTGAAGGCAGTTATGTGTTTGGGCAGCCATTGTGTTCACTAGAGCTTTTAACATTCACATCTAAACTAACCATCAACGGGTTTGAGGAGCAGCTTGGCGTACCACAGTCCTTGATCTGGTGCTCTCTATACATGCAGCCTGGCTGGGTGCACCAGCCTCCTGAGTAAGCCATTAGGTGTGTTGGGACAAATAGATCTCCTGTGATCCAGAGGGTAGGCTCTGGTTGCATCTGGGAACTGCACTTGCGAGATGACCCTCTGCCTCACGACAGGACGAATGAGGAGTTCAGCTTTGGGAACCATTCAAGGATGCTACAAACACACCCAATGTGTGCTCCCCAGAGGAAACTACAGTCCGAACAGAAACTGCCCAACTGAAAGACAGGGATGGTGTGGAGTGTCTACCTGGGAACTGCAGCAAAGCAACTCACTTCATGCATAGGTGGGAAATTGCAGTGCCCAAAGGAAGATGGAATCAGCAGGAGCCTCCACCAGGACTCCTGACAAGGGAATAACGTTTATTAACAGGAAACAGGAATGGACGAGTGGCCTCCCTGTGAGCAACTAAAAGGTCAGGTTGCCATCGGGAAAAAACTAAAGAGTTGGTCCCAACTTGCAGCAGGAAGAGAGATTATATGAGACTTCAGGTCTGTGAATAACAAGATTCTCAACATGGAGGCTTCATTGCAGCCCCTGAAACAGGGCTTCTTCCTCATGGCAGCTCTGGGATTGACGTTCTTCAAGGTACAAGAAGTCTGAGTGGGCATTGAGGCTTTGCTCAGCAGAGGGAAACCGCTTTGTGTCTCTAGTGCAGACAGAGACTTCTGTATGCTGTGCACCAGCACAACACACAGCCTTGGGTTGGTACCCATCGCCTGCTCGTAGGAAGCTCCAGAGTGGCCAGGAGCAGCCAGGATCCTGTTCCCTGTTCTCTCCAGGGCTTCCCAAACAGCTTGCCCGGGCGTGCCTTACACTATATTGCCATATTGATGCCACACTTCCCTGCCAGGGAGGTGAGACCTACGGGAGACCCATCAAGAGGACACCTCCACTTGCACCTGGGCCACGCTTGCAAACTCGGTGCCTGTAGAGATAACGAGTCTAATCTGCAGGCCGTGTCTCTTATGCAAGGTAGACATAACCACTACGTCCTCCGGAGTCAGCTACATCATAGCCAATGGGAACACTCGCAGCTGATCGTGAACGGTTTTTAGATCTTCAGTCATAGTGTTTTTATTATCCATGGATGCTGCTATTTTATATTCCGTGTTAGTATTCAAATAATATTGCGTAGGAATAGCATAGGAAGAAATAGACCAACCAGTTAATAATTTTAAACGCAGACCTCATCAGCAAAGAAAAGCTAGAAAACACTTGGTAAAGTCTGACCCCCTTGCACTTTCACAGTAGCGAGCACATCGTGTTTCAAAGTGGGTTTTTTTGATGCTGAAGTGTCTTAAATCTTATTCATTATGTCCATGAAAAGCTTTGCAAATGAGAGCAAGGGAACAAACATAATGATGAGCAGAGATAATGCACGTTCAGATAAATTTTCTTTGCTCACTCAAGCAATTGGAGTTTTTAATTATTTATAATACTTTTTAAGTGCAAGTGAAATGTACCACAGCATACTTTCTGCAGATAATTCAGTGTTAGCAATTTAATCCCTCATTTCAGTATCGCCTCTGTGATACAAGTTGGGCTGAGAAGCGAGACAAGAATGTGAAGAAACGGGCCTTTTTTGTGTGGATCAATTAAGCCAAAAGGTTCTTTGCAGTCAAGGGGCCAAGACGGTGGGTTTGAGCAAGGTGTGGGGTTTCTTTTTGTTAAGTACGAGCTACCACAGGCTGGGGCAGGAAAAATAACATGAATTATACATAGATTTAATAGCGTCACTTCTGTCTAGGAACAGTTCTGCCCTCTCTTTTCCATCAAAGCAAAAAAGCATCTGCACCATCCAAAAGGAAGTATTATTCACAGTTAGTGATGTTCTGTAAAACCACGTCAATGGCTCGATAAAGAAGGCGATTTGGACTCCTGCCTCCTGAGAATGAAAGATCTCAGAGGTGCTTAGTTCCAGGAGCCCGAGAGACGAGGGCAGCGCAGAGTCCTCCCACCAGCCCCAGAGTGCTCCATCCCATGCCCTGGCGGATCAAGAAAGACCTAACCACCACTGGTCAAGCGGACATTTCCACAAGCATTCCTCCTGCTGCGCTCGATTCGAGGCATTCTGAAGTCCAACATATTTAGTCCGATGTTTAAACAATACACTTTTTAAACACAATCCATTTTCTTTGGCTGGAATTATTCTATTGTAAAAGGGATTATTCACGTCTTGTGTTTTACTGTTAATAAAGATATTTCCAATTTAAGAGCTCTTTCCATTGTTGTCTTGCTTTTTTCTCTTCGAAGAGACTGGCTCTGGAAAGCTGCAGGTCCCAGTCCAGTCACCGGTGACTTTGGGAAACCAGAGTATTTAGAAAAACTTTGTTCTAAATAGGAATCAGTTCTAATAAGGCAAGAGGAATCAGTGATTTCACTGAGTAATGGGATGAAGCAACACTTCCAGCAGAATGGGATCATGGAATTGTCAGAGTTGGAAGGGACCTCTAGAGATCATCTGGTCCAACTCCCCTGCTAAGTAGGATTGCCCAGAGCACATCACTCAGGACTGCATCCAGGTGGGTCTTGAAGATCTCCAGAGAAGGGGACTCCACGACCTCCCTGGGCAGCCTGTTCCAGGGCTCTGTCACCCCCACCAGAAAAGTTCTTCTTCCTCATATTTGAATGGAACTTCCCATGTTCCAGCTTGTGCCCGTTGCCCCTCATCCTGTCATTGGGAACCACTGAGAAGAGTCCAGCTCCATCATCCTTCAACCCACCCTTTAGATACTCGTAAGCATAAAGATGCTAGGCACTGTAAAATGGACTGAAAATTAATACAGCATAAAATCTGTATATGAAGTATGTGCATCCCTCACTAATGTGGTAAATTCAAAGATTCAAGAGGATGGCTCAGCTTAGCTTCTGGAGGAGGCAGCACTGATCCTGACAGGCCATTAACGAGCCGCGATGCTGCCCACTGATCGAAGCCCTCGCTGTGGAGCAGACATCAGTGGGAAGAGACTTGCAGCTGAGCAGGTCTCAAACTGCTCAAGGGAAAACAGCTACCATAAGAATGTACTGTTACAGACGTCAGATTTCAGTCTTCCTAAAAATCAGATTTTTGTTCTGCAATAACAGAAGTAAGGCAGTAGAAGACATAACAGTCTTGGGAGCCACATGGACACTGCTGGGTTCACACAGCTTGGCAACAGAGCACTGGAACAGGCTGCCCAGGGAGGTGGTGGAGTCTCTGTCTCTGGAGACATTCAAAACCCACCTGGACAAGTTCCTGTGCAACCTGCTCTAGGTGGACCTGCTTTGGCAGGGGCATTGGACTAGATGATCTCCAGAGGTTCCTTCCAACCCCCACCATTCTGTGATCCTGTGAAACGCAGGAGGGCTGAGCTGCACTGAACATCTCTTGCACACCTGCTGCAAGTTTCATTTGCTTTAATGACTTCATTAGAAGGCATTCAGCACTGTCTTAACAAACACTCCCTCTGCCTTTTTTTCTAAACAACAGGAAATATTTTATTCTACAATTTTGGCCCATTACATTTTCATATATATACACTGAAATGAATAATCTGATTTTACTTAAAGCTAAAACAACTTTCTGTAACAAGAGCCTTGGAACACAAGAGTTTTAATGCCACCTAGTCAGAGCTAGCCATTTTAGTACACAAAAACCCCCACAGAAATTAAACAGATCAAGAAAGAACAGGCTTTGGTTTTGTTTTTTAAAGAAAAACAGAGATTTTACTCAAACACTTATTGGTCCAGAACTGTTGATACAAAGTTTTTCAGTTTCTTTTTTGAAAATAACAACTTACACAATAAATCCCTACTGAATAAGGTCTATACATACACAAAGCACAGCTTGTAACAATTCGTAAGACTAACAAATACTCCTGAAGAGATATTACTCAGCGGATCAAACTGCTGCAATATCAAAGTAGCACTTTATTAAGCACCTTGACCATTCCGATAAACTCTATTCGGAAACATGGTTTAATACAAAAATTTGTTTTCAAAACAAAACATGGGATTCAACATGTACATAATACAGTGGTTGGATTCTTACCCCAATCAATTGCAAGTTCATCTGAATTGGCTGAAAACCTGAGAAGTCCAGCACGAGAGCTGATTAGGTATCAGTTGTCGCAACAGAAAAAATTTACCTATGTTTTTTTCTTTTTAGAAGACTACATAAAGGGAAAAAAATGCACAATTACATTTTAGTTTTTGGATGCATTTCCTATTATGACTTAAAAGCTTTTAAATTTAATCTAGCCACTTAAAAATGAGTGATAATCTCATCTGTAATTAAGTTGTATTTCTTGTATAAGAGGTTGGTCCTTACAAATAAATCCATAGAACAGGGACCAAGTCTCAGTTGCATACGTTCCACCTAATTCTTCTCCAAAGCATTTTGCCATTTCTCTCTTTTGGAACTTTTAATCACAAGTTCTTTTACATGCTTTGCACAGACAGTGAAGCACTTCAAACCTACTCAACTTGCAGATAATGAATATATAGCAGGAGGATCACCTGATTTGCACTTTTCTGAGCCACCGGATTGACTTCTTGATGGCACGTTGTCTCTGCCTTTAGTGCAAGATTCCACTGGACATAATTTTCTCATATCCCTGAGCAATTGCCGTTGGGTCAATGCCACTGGACTGGCTCAAATTCAGGACTTTATTTCACAACTTCCATAGAAAGTAACTGACTTCCTTCAATGATTGTCATCAAAGAGTGACTTGTTTAACAGTAAATCCTTATATAGAAAAATGTTAATTTAGTGGAAGACTTTGGTAGGAAAAGGGTGTACAGCTAAACATTACCAATATAAACAAATTTCTATTAAAAAAAAATTAAACATAAAATGAAGTTTTAAAAAGAATCAAAAAAATAGACTCCTCCAGATTTGCTCACAAGTTTGCAGACACCCAAGCAGCTCAAAACCTCAAAAGTGCAAACAAGAAACAAGTAAAACACGTAACAGCAGCAACTTTACTTTTCCTTTAAGCATTGAGATTCTTTGTATTTGTGTAAAATACACACATCCTATTCCTCCTTCAGCACCAGACTCATCTGCAGGACATGGATCTGTTCTGATTAACCAGGTGCTCCTTGAAACTGTTGCTGCCTTTGTTCCAAAGCCTGCTGACTTAACAGCTGCTGCTGTTTCTGTAGAAATTGCACTACTTCTGGACTTCTGAGTAGGGACTGCAAGAAACAGAAAGTGGACTTTACTTTAAAGAACTCACATATATGAAATAGCTACAATGATTAAGTTTATATTATATTTTTCCATTAAATCAATTTGCACAATACTCATCATTGTGATTTAACCCCGACAGGCAACTAAGCACATCACAGCCTCCTGTTCATTCCCCCCCAGTGGGATGAAGCACCACTCAGCAATAACTAAAACATCGCTGCGTTATCAACACTGTTTTCACCACAAACCCAGAACACAGCCCCATACAAGCTACGGTGAAGAAAATTAACTGTATCTTAGTCAAAACCAGTACACCCATACACATGAGAGTTGAATTAGACACTGAAGAGCTGCAAATATGCTCACAAAAACTATCTTGAAACCATTGCAGGCCATCAGCAGGTAATCAGAAGCAGCATTGATACACGTACTGAAAGCAGATTCAGAATGTAAAGAATATACAATATCACATAAACCATAAACATAACAAACAGGAGTAATCTACTGACATACTGAAAACAAACACTTTCCAATTGTGCTTCAATTTTGAGCCAATTTTTGCATTTCCCACTCCAGATAGCTAAAAAATACTATAGTAAATAAATAAAATGCTGTAACTCTACAACAAGTCAGAGTTCAAGCATCCAGAAGATGCTGTTGGTTTTTGCATTTCCCACTCCAGATAGTTAAAAATATATAGTAAATAAATAAAATGCTATAACTCTACAACAAAGCTCATGTGCCTGTCAGAGTTCAAGCATCCAGAAGATGCTGTTAGTCATATGGTTTAGTTTTAGGTAATCCTCTGAGGAACAGGGAATTGGACTCAATTTTTCTTGTAGATCCCTTCCAACTTGAGACACTGTATGATTTGATGCTCACCAAGTGTTCAATAATTTCCCAACATTTCAGAACAGCAGCCCAGCCACAAGGAGTAACTTAAAAAACTCTCTGCCTTCAGTCAAAAAGACAGCAGTATCTAAAACTATTTGCATCTGGCTCCCAGCCTGAACAGTTGCAGTCTGTGATCCAGCCCTGGCTGTTCACTCTCATTCCTGCATGGTGGCAGCACAAGTGTTTGTAAGGTCAAATGAGGTTGGGAATGGATCCTTCCAAAAATTAACACAGGAGAAAGGTTATTTTTCAGCTGAACTAACTCCCTAAACTGCTTGCTCATATATGCATGGTCACTTCACTGATGCAACCAAAGAGGCCCTGCAACTCTGTAATCCAGATTTACATTCAAAAGGACCAGGAACTTCCAGGGCAGGGTTTCAAACTTTATGCCATTAGGGGAAATTCTACCGAGATTACAACTGAAAACAATTATTCTGCACATAACTCACACCTCCACCAGCAATGAACAGAGAAGACAGTGAATGAGCTACTGAAAGCAGTTATTGATAACAAACAGGCTCACTGAGCAGATGCGCGGCCACCTTTTCCTTACTGTACACTGGCTTTATCACGTCACTTCACTGCACAGGGCAGTTCTGCAGTAAGTAGTTCTTAATTTGCTGCTGGTTTATGACATTAAAGTGCCTCAGGTCCACAACTTGCTGCTTCTCAGTCCCTTGCTATAGGTTTCTACACCTTTCTCCAGCGCAAGCTGCACATCCAGGCACACACGGGCCACCACAAAAGCCTCTTCTCACAGACATTAACCACATAAAAGAAACTTATGAGCAAGCACAAAGGACTTAGCCCTTCTACATTATAAACCTGCAGGCAGCTACCAGTGACATGCAGTAACTTCTACGTGCAGGAACATAAGCTGTGGGACAGTCTTGGATACAGCAGGCCATGAGAGACCTTTCTGGGTCAACATGTATCCCTTGTGTTGTGTAGATATGCATAAAACAAAGAAGAAATTCCAGAAGAAATAATGCTGAATGACAGATACTGAGTCAGGAGAGAGAGAAGCAAAAACCAGATCAAGGAGAATCTGAATCTTACTTCCCCAGGATACTGCAAGGAAACCTCAATTCTTGAAAAGCCTTGACATAACTGTGTGCAAAAGCTCTCAACACTTATTTATTTTCAGAGCTTCTGATTGTTCTATTTCTAGGAAAAAATGTTTCATTAATCAGATACTTTCAAATTTAATTAAAAAAGCACATGAACAAAACCAGCCAGGACAGGGGGCAACAATTCAGTAAGCAGGGCATGAAGAATGACAGATGTGAAAAATAAACTTCATAGTTCATTACTTTTTTCTTGTAAAGTCTGAAGAGCTACAGACACCCTCTAAGTTTTAGAAAAATAGGTGCTATTCTTCAGAATTCAATAAATAAATCTATATAACTGTATGCTTAAGACTGATATGATGTTTCTTTAAAGACTTTTCAAATTCTGAACAAGGACTACAGCACTTTAATGAGGACTGTTAAATTGCTTTGCACAGCTAACAGAGAAAAAAGCCAAACAGTCCTGTTAGCTTCTGGAGAAAGGAGACTGTAAAAAACAGCAACATAAAAAGTTGTAATGAAGACGAAGGAACAGTAAGTACTGAATTATTTCCCCTCATTGGGCTTAATTCTTTAAATATACTTAAGGGAGCAACAAAACCATTTCAGAACTTACAACACATGCCATGCATGCAGTCTACAAATATCACAAGTCACACTATTTGCTTACAAAGTCTGCTTTTCAAAACAAATATATACAATTTTAAGTATATGATAGGTTCACAACTTTTAAAACACACTACAGTAATTAAACCTTACATCAGACCTGAAGTCCATGCATTCTTCTATCTGAAGCTTTACAGAAATGTTGGTTTAACAAGTTAAATACATCTCAGTATAAGCACTATTTACTCTAAAGAAATAACCACATCTTTTTCATCTTTTTAATACTACCATAAATATTCAACTTCAGGTAACGTGGCAGTGAGCATTACATTTAGTCATCTTAGTATTCTTCAGAGACACTGAGACACACATCTGCTCTAGAGCGTATTTCAAATTTGAAAATATGCACATGTAGTGTACAACCATTAAACTGATTTTCATCTTTCACAAGGGTGACAGTTCCCCATTGTTACACTCTCTGTATTTGAGTTCAAAACATCTAAGAAAACAAAACTTACCAGCCTCTTCTTATTCAACACTTGTTCTAAAAGAGTAGGCCTTGCTGGGCGATCCCCAATGGATCCTGTCCTCTGTTTTGTAACAGAAACTGAACCTTCAACACTATCCTGCACATGAAAAAAAAATATTAAAAAAAAAAGTGAGACTATAAATCTTGATGTAGTAATAATTTACTTTTCATCACAGAAAGTCCCCAGAGTAAAGAATATTTGCCTCAGTTTGCAGAGGAAAATAACAACACAAGAACAGAAACTTACCTATTCAATGGACAGTTAATGGCTTGAATTTATTTGACTGCATTTCTTAAAAATGAAGCCATTCACAACTCAATCTCCAACTTGTGGAAGTGAATGGTATTTAACATTTGCAATTAGGCAGGAATAACATCTTTAATAGCAAAACAAAACATACTTCAGATTACTATTATGAACTTGTCAAAAACATAGGCAAGAGACAGTAAAACCTACATGTTTTTTTCTTTGTAAGTTTATTCTATTCCTTGTAAAGTCAGCAGTCATATGAATTAGACTGTCTTCTAAACAACGTGTCTCTACAATCTGCTGTAGAGAAAATATTCATGGTTTGGAAAATTGCAACCAATGTTGAATCACAACCTACTGACACTTCCGTTTACCTGAAAGGATTCAAGCACCACCACCACCAAAGTATCCCGACATCTTTCACTTCACTGCTGTCCACAGAAGCGAAAAATGAAACTTCTATTAGGAATATAACTCTGACCTCACAAGATGACAGATTCTTGATAGACACCACTGCAAAAAAGCACGCTAAATTTCACACTAAATATCTTGCTTTATTCTGCAAGTTCAGGCCTTAATTTCATAACACTCAAAGCAACCTGCACTTGCAGAAACTGGGAGAAGAAAGCCTGCTCTCTTCCAACATGCAATAATCACTACTTCATGTTACAGATCAAAAAGTCTTAACCCATTACTACATGAAATGCAGCAATTTTACCGTTCTCTCCTTTTCTGAAGCAACACAAATATTTGGGTAGACACTTCATGGACTAAGCACGATTAATTATTAGGAAAGGAAGACAAAAGAGGAGAGATTATGCCAGTATACAAATCTAGAATTCACCTACATCTTGAACACCGTGTGCAGTTTCTGTTCTCTCATCAAAAAGAGAAGTAGCTGGTAGAACTACAGAAGGTTCACAGAACGGCAACAAGGATGGTAAAAGTACAAAACTTTTCACTTGGCAGCGAGCATGCTACGCCTTTTCACGCAGGAAGGAAACAAGCTAGAGGCAAGCCTGACCCTAGCAGCATCACATACACTTGCCTTACAGCTAGACAAAAAAAAAGATTCTTTGGTGCAACACCCAGTATGGTTACTACTATATTTATGTGAAGAAAAACAGAAAAAGTAAAGTTTTTTTGATGTTTAGCTTGCAGTTAGATCAGTCACAGTCACAACTCCAGAGACAGCTGTGCTGACAAAAAAGGGCCACTTTTAGCAGGAGTGCCAGGTAAGACTTTTTTCTTTTGGCAACCACTATTTTATACTTGTCCCTTCAAGCACAAATTAGCCAGCACCTTCAAAAGTAAAACCAAAAGTACTAGTGACCACCAGAAACTGTTATCCTGAGTCACAAACTGTAGGAAAAAAGACTAGCTAAAAAGTCTTTAAACATTAGCATCAGTTCTATCACTGACAATATTTCCTCATTTAAACAATACATATAAGTCTATGAAAATAAGTATAAACTATTAGTGGTCTAAATATTTAACTGCCATTTAATAAAAAAATAAAAAGCTAGTATATTTAAGAACCCACACAACGATATACAATATCAGTTTATATTAGTATTTTATATTAATATTTTATATACAATATAATCTGATACCAAACAGCCTTTGGGGCTTTAAAACCTCACATTTCAGTACCAACTGGTCAAGAAGACCAACATCTCTCTCAGATCTACAGTTTTAACTTTCCTCCTGCATAATAAACACATGCGGCACAGCAAAGCATCTTTTATAGAATCACAGAATGGCTCAGGTTGGAACAGACCTTAGAGATCATGGAGTCTGAAGCCCCCTGCCATGGGCAGGGACACCTGGCCCCATCCAGCCTGGTCTTGAACACCTCCAGAGATGGGACATCCACAAGTTCCCCGGGGCAACCTGTTCCAGTGCCTCACCACCCTCATAGTGAAAAATTTCTTCCTGTTATCTAATCTAAATCTACCCTCTTCCAGTTTGAAGCCATTACCCTTCGTCTTTTTTACACGCCCTTGTAAAAAGTCCCTCCCCAGCTTTCTTGCGGGCCTCCTTCAGATACTGGAAAGCTGCTATAAAGTCTCCCAGGAGCCTCCTCTTTAGCAAGAATTTTTCTCCTGGAATCTTCTGGTACAGTTGTAAGTTGCTACAATTTGTATCAGAGAAAAATAAAGAGGCAAGGTTTGCCGTGGCAGCGAGCTCTAGGGCTGCCCGAGACGTCCACCCTTCCCTCTGGGCAAAAAGCTCCCGTTCTCTCCCGTTTTCTCTCCGAAACCAAGTCTGCGCAGGAATCCCCTACTCCCAGGGGATCACCGGGCAGTCGGGCTGCCACCCAGACTCCACCACCCGAGGAGGCCCCAGCAGAGACCCACCACCCCCACCACCTCCAGCCCCGGGGTGCCTCACCTCGGCCCGCGGGCCGCCCCCCGCGGCGGCCGCCCCGCCGCCCCCCAGGGCCTGGTCGCTCTTCTTGCGCTTGTACTTGTCCTTGTAAATCTTGTTGCGGTGCCGCTTGCACATCCAGGGCTTGCGCTGCTTCACCACCTGCGTGGTGGTCTCGCTGCAGCCCTGGTAGGTGCAGCTCTTGCAGCCGCCGCCCGCCGCTTCCCCGCTCGAAGCCGCCGCCGTCGTTGTCGCCGCCGCCGCCTCCTCCTCCTCTACCAGGCCGTCTCGGCGTCACGTGCCCGGCGGCGCTGAGGGGACGGGCCCGGGGTTCCCCCTCAAGGCGGCGCAGGGGCCTGGGCGGGCTTCTGGGACCTTGCCTTGGGCCTGGGCCAGCTCCGCTAGCATGGAGCCCTCGCGTCTACCCAAGTGCGAAGAACTCCCCTTGCAGCCAGGGGGTCACTGCCACCAGTGGCCACTTCTGCGTATTTGGTCCCCTGGCTGCATGTGGCCCTGTCCTTGTCCCAAATCAGGGTTCTGTGCCCCGGTGTGCAAAGAGCCGGCCCACGCGCAGAGTCGAGATGTTTTCTTTATTTCATGTCTGCGCAGAGGTGGGAGCTCCATGAAGTTAGCACGCCTTGGCTTACACATTGTAAGCTTTAATATTTTTCAAAAATCAACTAATACCATCAGCAGCTCATAATTTCACAGTAAGCTTCTCTTGGCTGCTTGTGTTCTGGCTTTGAGTTAAAGGGGAGACCTTATCTATGTTTACAAGTACCTAAAGGGTGTGTTGAAGGAGGATGGGCTGGACTCTCTTCAGTGGTTTCAAGTGATAGGACAAGGGGCAACAGGCAGAAGCTGGAACATGGGAAGTTCCATTCAAATATAAGGAAAAATTTCTTTATGGTGAGGGTGACAGAGCCCTGGAACAGGCTGCCCAGGGAGGTCGTGGAGTCCCCTTCTCTGGAGATCTTCAAGACCCACCTGGATGCAGTCCTGAGTAATGTGGTCAAGGCAACCGTGCTTTGGCAGGGGAGTTGGACTAGATGATCTCTAGAGGTCCCTTCCAACTCCGACAATTCCGTGATTCCATAAAAGTATAGTACGTTTGCCAATTACTACGCCTGCTGGGTGAGTAGGGGTTTCATCTGGCAGGCTACAGCTTAAGATCTGGAGGTGTGGTTTTCATATTCTAACCAGCTAAGTTCACCTAAAGGACACACATTTTTTTATTTTCAACATTTTGTAAGAGCTAGCAACCTTGCAGTTTTAAGGGAATGCCCCAGTTTTCCCAGATTAGGTTCCATGTGTCTTTTTGCAATCTACAGGCTGATACAACACATTTGTTTTCTTTCATTGCCCAGGGTCTTTTCCTCCTTAGCAACATCTTATTTGTGTTGCCTTCATCACCATGATGGCCATCCGGACCCAAACTGTCCTACCACTGATCTTCGCAAGCACCGTCCCTTGGCTGTGCTTGTGTTCTCCAACCACAGCCAGCTGGAGAGTGGGAACACAGAGCTGCAGTTTGGTATCTTTTCCCACTTGGCCTTTTTAGGGCCTCCAGCCCACTATTGCTCTTGTACCTTTCAGCTTGCTGCTCTTTGCCTTTCCTTCATTTGGATATCAATTCTCTCCTTGGCTCAACTCTTCCTGGCTCTTTGGATACTTTTTCCATATTACAATGTTCATCTGAGGAGCTAAGACCAAATTCACCCAACTTATGCCATTACAAATACATTATTCATAGAATCATAGAACGGTTAGAGTTGGAAGGGACCTTAAAGATCATGGAGTTCCAACCCCCCTGCACTGGGCGGGGACACCTGCCATGAGACCAGGTTGCTCAAAGCCCCATCCAGCCTGGCCCTGAACACTTCCAGTGATGGAGCATCCACAACTTCTCTGGGCAACCAAGTTAACATCTAACTTCCTAAGTTAACATCTTTATTTTGAAATGTAAATGAATGCTGTATCCATAATCTTAGCCATTTTTTTTCACTCCTCAGTCCAGTCCTTTTTTTCTGCAAAAGTCTTAACATTTTATTCCAAGAAAAAAGTTACTTGTAACGCAACTATCATATCGACCCTCAGTTTTCCTTCTACTTCCTCCTTCTGTGTCACAGGCACTGAATTTTCCTCGCTCCTCCATCTCCTTGATCATCTGTTGTTTGCCCCCCTTATTTTTTCTTACCTCCTTACTCTCTGGGGGTTCTTGTCTTTCTCATTGCACACGTCTGTTCATCCCATATTTAAGTAACTGTGCAGACCCCACCCATCCAGTTCTGGGCTCCCCAGTTCAAGAGCGACAGGGAACTACTAGAAAGAGTCCAGAAAAGGGCAACAAAGATGGTTCAAGGATTGGAGCATCTCCCTTATGAGGAGAGACTGAGAGAGCTGGGACTCTTTAGTCTGGAGAAGAGAAGGCTGAGGGGAGCCCTTATCAATGCCTACAAGTATCTCAAGGGAGGGTTGAAGGAGGAGGGAACCAGACTCTTTTCAGTGGTTCCCAGTGAGAGGACGAGGGGCAACGGGCACAAGTTGGAACAGAAAGGGTTCCACTTGAATATGAGGAAGAACTTTTTCACGGTGAGGGTGACGGAGCCCTGGAACAGGCTGCCCAGGGAGGGTGTGGAGTCCCTTCTTTGGAGATTTTCAAGACCCGCCTGGATGCAGTCCTGAGTAACATGCCCTGACAAGCTCTGGGTGGTCCTGCTTCACCAGGGCATTTGGACTACATGATCTCTACGGTCCCTTCCAACTCTAAAATTCAGTGAAATTCAGTGAAATTACCACACCTCCCTTTTCCTGTCGTTAAGGTAAATGGTTATGCTGTTTACGGTTGTGGCCATTAGGTTTCACCCCTGACCATGTCATAATACAGTTCTCCCTCATTTGTCAAAATAGCTAATGATGTGGTATAGTCCTAGACAAATCACGGTGAACCTTGGTAACCTTGTCCTCGTCGCCTGTGACCCACCAGTCACCCTTAACATGGACAAGGTGACTCCCAGCTCTACTGGGAGGGAGTCTTCCTCCCTCTTACTTCTTAAGATGTGAGCTCTTTGAGGCAGTGGTTGTTGTCAGTAAATGTCTGGATTTTTTTCACATTACACTTCCATTGAAATAATTTTAGTTTGTTTTTCTTTTTTTTTTGCTTTAAATGTGTCTTGACAGAATGCCTACTCAAAATTCTAAGTGCCCCTTACATAAATTAAAACAAAATCAAAAATAATAATGAATCAAACCCAGCATTTTTCTCCCCCCATGCTCCCTGCACGTATCCACACTATGACTAATTAAAATGCAAACAAGTATTGGGAAGCTTATACCTTTTAAATCCCAGGAAGAAGAGTTGCTTGTGCCCTTCCCCAACACGTTTCTGAAGCCCCGCTGAGACAGCTAGGTTTGGCACAGGCCAGTCAGACCGGTAGATTGAAGCCGTTCGAGGCCAAATGAGAAAAATATTTCCAAAGTTAAGGTTTCCAAGCAAATGAATTTTTTAATCTGTTGGATTCTACCTCAGACACCCTGGTAACACACAGGAATCTCGTTGGAGAGTGTGCCTGGAAGCATACGCTTTAGTTTTCGTTTTCCTCATCTGAAGAGAAAAGAACAACAAAAACCACCAGAAAACTAACAATACCTTACAAAGATATTGAGGGTGTTAATTAATTAGCAAACTGATTTGATATTTAATGAACCTATTACTGGACTGTAATATGATGTATTATCCAATTCTTTTTATCCCAGAACCTTATCATCTGCTTGCTTGAGGGCATAGAAACACAAACAGGAATTAAATTGGTGACAGCTAACAAATGAAGCTCGTTTTAAAAAGCCGCTATTGATGCTCTTTTTCCTGCCTGGCTTGCTCAGAAAAGGGAAACATTGTGATGGAAAAGAAATCAGGCAAAGTATCAGTTTCCTTGGGTTCCATTTCTGGCAATCCAGCTTTTGGGGAAAGAAGGCTGTGTTTGGAAAATTTTGTCACTAGTCTGTACATCATTGCCAGGAGCAGCTGCATCATGTTTCGCCTTCCCAGGTACAATTAAGAGGAGATGGCAAATGTGATTATTGAAAACTAGTAAGTTAATTTGTCTGTAGCTGACAGCTAGTTGTTTAAATAGATTCTGTATTTTTTTGCTGTCTCTATAATTTGCGTTTGTGAAATAGTTCATTTTAATGTTCTAGGTTTCTTTGCCAGTTCTTAATATCCAGTTCTTAATTATCTTAGGAAACAACATGAATTAAAAAAAACAGATACAGGGTAAGATTCAGTAAAGTAATCATGATTAGAGAGGCTGATCTATCCGACTTACAGACGAAGATAGAACTAATGATTAGAGTTGCAATAATATTTCCAAATTGTGAAAGTTATTTCAGCATTTTCCTATGAGTGATGATACGAATTCTGTTCACTCAATATCTGTCTGTCTGTCTATCTATCTATCTGTTTGTCTTTTACACGGAAGTGCATCAGCCTTTATCATGTGTTTTAAGAGCAGAGGCCATACTCAGAACTTCTGTGAGAAGCAGGACTATGAAATTCATACATCCGGTGTTGTGGTATCCCTACAAAGAAAACATAATCTAAATGCAAATTATCTTGTAACCTTATTGCTCTGTTATAAAATGAAAAAATCTAGTCAGAGCATTTGGGTTTTTAAAACAGCTATGAAAGGTACTTGAAAGATACAAGGGAATGAAGACTGCTGGAGAAAACTGAGAACTAATGATTTTTAAAGCACATCTCTTTAGAAACACACAATTTGATGGGGGAATCAAGATGTGAGTATGTAGTCAAGAGAGATTTTTCTACTTAATTGTACTTCTTACTGCTTAGTGATCTCCCCATCTCTCCATCTCTTGGGGTTCAAGTCGAATTGTACAGTGATACAGTCATGGAAAAGTTCCAAAGCTCCTCAGCCTCAAAACAATCTTCCCTCAACAGAAGGCAAAGTGCAGAGTGATCAATTTTGATATGAATTTCCAGGTGACAATGAGTGCTGAAGTCTTACTATGAATAGCCAAGCATATTACTTCAAGCTACTCACTCTAGTCAGTTTGTGAAAACTTGATTTTCAGTTAAGTGTACCAAAATTTGATGAAAATTTAATCAAATCTTATAAACATCCCTTTTTACACTATTCAAGTGTTTCTGTTTCTTAATGATACTAGGAAGTCATAAACTTATTAGACTTTATGAATTACAGACAAATCTATTTTTGCAAATCATGAAAATAAAAAACTAATTAAACAGAAGTTTGGTTTGCATTATGGGTATGTATTCTGGTTATTGTATATGTATGACATCAGATGGCCGTCAGAAATGGGTTTCTTTCCCCAGGCCCTTCTCATTTTGCATGGTTATCTTTGCCCCATGACAACAGATAAATTAAAAG